TTTCATTCATTGCTTTTAGTGTTTACAAATCTCTATAGGTCATGTTTCAGTCATAATTCCTTTTCCACTTTAAATTTTGAACCATGTGGGTGAAGCAATGCAATTACTATAATGGTTTCTGTTTGCAGCACTGAAACATTATTTTGAAAATGCTGATCCTGGGACCTATCAGAATGAGTACCTCCCCTTAAATTGAAGAAACTTTCTGCGTTCTTGATTGATTGGTACTTTCTTTCCCTGGCAAAGGAAAGCATATGTGGGAAATACCATTCAGGAGGCTTGTAAAAGATTTCCTGTTTAATAATGCAAACGGCATTGATTGTGTGGAAAGAAAACCCCAGAAAAGATGGCAGCGGACACGTTACTACACACAGTCAAGGCATCCTGTTTCCTTGCTCATCCATTCTGCTCTGCATTCTTTGTGAGCACAGCTATAGTCATTGGTACTTTTTCTTCTTTATCTCAGGCCTCTTCTACATTGCCATATAATCAGCTTATCAAAACAGAAAATCCACATTATCTGCTTTGAACTGGATTATATGAGTATACAGTGATATATTCAAAGCAGATAATCTGGATTATGTATGGCAGTGTAGAAGGAGCCTTAGGGCCCTTCCACACAGCCATATAACGCAGAATATCAAGGCAGATAATCCACAATATTTGCTTTGAACTGGGTTATCTGAGTCCACACTGCCATATAACTCAGTTCAATGTGGATTTTATACAGCTGTGTGGAAGGGGCCACATAGAAATACATATCATCCTTGGCCAGTCCATGAAGAGGATTTGGAGGTCATTAAAAAGATTGGGTTCCAGCCAATTTGCTTTGTTTTATACTGTTCCTGGGTTAATTGTGCCTTGGATTTGTAGTCTTGCTGTTTACCCCTTTTGTTACTGCCACAAAGAGTAAAAGAAATGGGTTACAGGAATGTTCTTCTGAGAAATTGCCTCAAATGTTCCTGCTTGATTTTATACAACCACTATGTTTAGTGGTAGTTAGTGGCCTCCATGACATGGAAGGCATCAGCTCCAACTGTTGCTTATTGCCAACTAGATGATTTTGACGTTTTAAAGCAACTATGGATGAGAGACCTCCAAGGTCCCATCCACACTGCCATATAATGCTGTTTGAACTGCCTTAAATGGTCATCATAGGCTGCCCTATATCCCAGGATCCGATCCCAGATTATCTGCTTTGAACTGGATTATATAGCAGTAGACTCATATAATCCAGTTCCAAATAGATCATCTAGACTGCTATCTAACCCAGATTACACTATGTAACACTTTTTTTTGTTCCTTGGTTATAAATGCTATTTCCTAAATGGTTCTATCATAAAAGCATGAAAAAAAGTTTATTAAACTGCAAAAACTTTGTTTTTGCAGGACATCCCATGGCACATTTTGCTATAGTTTTTCAATGAATATCTGATAACCAATCTCAACCAATTCAACATAGTTTGTGGCAGCCACAAAAACAAAGTGCCTGCAGTATAACAACTATGGTACTTTCAAAGTAAGTGCAACACAATTAAACAGGAATAACACTTTTAAACCAGGAACAGTGTTTTTTCCTCAAATTTTGTTACATAGGGGTATCAAAGCAGATAATCCAGATGATTTGCTTTGAAGTGGATTATACGAGTCTACACTGCCATATAATTCAGTTCAAAGCAGATTTATTTATTTATCGAGTCATCAGCAACCAGTCAATTATATTACATGTAATTCAAAGCAGATCATCTGGATTTTATATGGCAGTGTAGAAGGGGATTAAAGAGCTCCCTTGGTTGAGTCTAATCATCTGCAAAAATCCAGATTATCTGCTTTGAACTGGATTATATTGCAGTGTAGACTCATATAATCCACTTCAAAGCAGATCATCTGGATTATCTGATTTGATAATCTGGATTATATGGCAGTTTAGATGGGGCTTCGGTCTGATGAGACAGTTGGGGAGCAACAAAATTCCCACTTGTGCTGTAAAGTCGTTGTGGTAGGATGTGGTAGGATGAAGAAAAGCTATTCCTGTGTGAACTTGGTGCAGGATTATATCGTGAGGCTGTTGGAAAGAGAGGCATAAGAAACTAGTGAAAACCTTGAGAGGAATAAAGGCTCAGGATGTGTATCATGTCTGGATGATTTCCCCAATATTCCTAGAAATGAGTATGAATACAGGGCAGGGGTGTTGAGGGCCACATCAGGACCATTGAAACTATGGATGGAGAATCCATGGAGATACAGGGTGACTATGATATTTTTACATAGCGGTTGGTGCTGTTTAGTTTTTACCCAGTTTGGGTCCCCAGGTATTATTGTATGACAACTGCCATCACTTTTGATTATCTGCCATGCGGAATAGGGATAATGGAAATTGCAACCCAATAGTACTTGGTGCTCTGAGGTTGAGGAAAGGTTCAAGGACATTTTGAAGTCAGACATCATATCCACAATAGCCTGGTATCTAAATCCAAACCCCACTATTCTGACTCAACAGAACAAACTGTAGCTTTCCAGATGTTTACTACTGGTGACTACTTGATATTATATGTTTTAAATTACTTTTAGATGGTTTTATAATGTGTGTTAAATGTTTTTAATTGTGTTTATGACCGTCATGGCATCAAATTGCTGCCAATCTGTAAGCCGCCTTGAGTCGCATTCAGGCTGAGAAGGCAGCATAGAAATACCACAAATAATAAATAAATTAATTAATGGGTTGTTGTAGGTTTTTTCGGGCTAGATGGCCATGTTCTAGAGGCATTCTCTCTTGACGTTTCACCTGCATCTATGGCAAGCATCCTCAGAGGTAGTGAGGTCTGTTGGAACTAGGAAAATGGGTTTATATATCAATTAAATTACTGTTACTGTACCCCAACTCCCATCACCTCTAGATATGATGTCTAACAATACGGAATACAGGCATTGTAGTCCAGCATGTGGAGGGTCACATAAAATGACACAGAGGGCCAGATTCGGCCCATGGCCCTTGAGTTTGACGCATGTGAGCCAGGGGCATGGGGATTCCTGGCACTTCCGCACCATTTATTTTCTGCACCATTTATTTTGCTTTGCCCTGGAGATGGAAAGCCATGCAGTAGCTGCAGCTGAAAATAGCTCCTGGTTCTGTTTTCTCTCCACTGCTTATCTTTGGCTGTTCCTTTCCCATCCTTCCTCCCTTAGCGTGCCCCTTTTTTCCTCTCTAGCTGGAACAGTCTGAAAAGGTCTTCCTCCTTGGCCAGAAAACACTGGAAGGCTTGTCCAGTCCCTTTTTGAATTCTGAGCCATTTTCTCCAAACACTGCCAAATCCTTAAGATGTCTTGCCCAGTGTTTTCTTGTGCTCCATTGGATCCTTACAAAGAAGTTCTTGGTAGAAATCTCAAACTGTGGAAAGCAAAGTTATTGGAATATAATAATATTACAATATAATAGTATAGTACAATATAGTAATATTTAATACTGATATTGAACTATGCTAATAATATAATATATTGTATATGTGTGTGTGTGTGTGTGTATATATATCTATCTTGTAAGCCGCTTTGAGTCCCCTTTGGGGTGAGAAGGGCGGCATATCAATGTCGTAAATAAATAAATAGTTTCTAGGATCTTCCAGCCAGCAGATCCATCTGACTATGTTGGGTTCTGGGAGTCCTAAGTAAAACAGAATTGTGGGTGTTAAATAGTGATTACTCACAGGAGTACACAATATGAGGTGCCTGCATGTATCCATCAGACTGTATTGTTTTGTTCTTTCTAGCTAGCCAGGAAAGATGTCTGAGATCAGTGGTCCCCATACCTTTTCAGACATGGAACCCTTCAGAAGACATTCATTTTCCATGGAACCCCAACTGTATCCCTGAGTTATTTAATCAATATATATATTCTGGATCAGACGTGTTTCCCAATTTCCTATATAAGCACCTAGTTTTGTAGTAAATTATACTCTGGATATTCTAATATCCCAAATGTCTTTCATCTCAAAAACTGTATAAGAAAAAAAATCCAAAAAGAAATGTGGAATCAACATAAAAATTGACCCTGTGTGAATCACTCTTGTTCAAATAAAACGTTGAAAGGTGAAACCAGTAGTTAGTTAGGCGATCCCTTGTTGTCCCGAGTATGATGGCCTTCCAAGTGTAGTGTCTTGGCAGTGGATCGGTAGGTAACTGTGAAGCCTATTGTGAACTTCATGTTCTTCTGCAGTTAGGACATTGGTTTCCAGGTGGAAGGTGGTCCCGGTCAGGGTTGGCATGACGCGTCTTCCTGTTGGCATGTTTCTCTTTTTCGCCCTCCATTTGTACCTGTTTGAATTCCACAGCATTGCTGGTCACAGCTGACTCCCAGTTAGAGTGCTCAAGGGCCAGGGCTTCCCACTTCTCAATGTCTGTGCCACAGTTCTTAAGGTTGGCTTCAAGCGCATCTTTAAATCTCTTTTCCACACCAACTGCGCTGCTAAGAAAAAGATCTACACTAGTGAACCTACCTGGCTCACTCTCTTATGGTTGTGTTTGTTATACTTAAACCTTGTGTTCACAGTACCCAAAATTCCCTCTTAAATGAAAAGACCTTTTACACTAATAGACTCACATTGCTTCTTGTTTTCTAACTATTCTATGATTGTAAGCCTGCCTTAGGTTGCAATGCATTACACACTTACTAAGGATTGACTTTACAGGATATACTATATACTACAGGATGTATTTTTGAGTACATCTGTGCAGGATTTCGAAATGCAGTATGGTTGAGGTACCCTTCTTCTTCTCTAATGTTTTGTATATTGGCTGCTAAAATGTTCAGAATTTAGATTTCTAATCCCATTATAACGTTTTCCTGATCTGAACAATTGCACAGAGTGTGTCTTTGGATTTCTGTTCTGCAGCCGGTTTTCTTGACAGCTTGCTTCAAGAACGGAGTCAGGGTGGAGGCTAATTCAGGACTCGTTGTATAATAATCCAGATAGTGAAGCCTTCTCTGTTCTGTTTTCTGTCCGCAGGCACAAACTATGAATTACGTTGGGCAATTAGCAGGCCAAGTCTTTGTGACTGTGAAGGATTTCTATAAAGGATTAAATCCGGCCACGTTGTCTGGATGCATTGATGTCATTGTTGTCCGCCAGCCTGATGGAAACCTCCAATGCTCCCCTTTCCACGTTCGCTTTGGCAAGATGGGAGTTCTGCGCTCGAAGGAAAAAGTGGTAAGAAAGAAGACTACTGGCTGCTCTGTCTGTCTATATGTCAGATATGCTGCTTATTGCCCCAAATATCTTGCATTACATCAAGTATGTTGCCATTCTTTGTACTCCCAACAAATGAAACAATTTTGCTTATCTTCAAAGAAAAATTCACTATGCATTCCCCAATCAAAAGTCTTCACTCAGGCTTAATCTACAGTACCATATAATCCAGTTTCTGAATGTAGATTAACGGATGGAACTGGATTACAGGCAGTGCCTGAGTTACAAACATCCGACTCATAGTTAAAAACAAGAGTGAGACAACAGGAAGTGAAAAAACTCTTCTCCTCGGAAGGGAAATTCACCCCTGAAAGAGTTTTTATGGGGAAAAGGGGTCTCGAAGCTTTATCGCCAATCCTTGTTTCCACAACAAGTGACTTTTTCAAAATCCAATTCTCAGAGGGACAGAAAGTGAGATGAATGTTAACCCTTCCCTATGCTATGTATATATCGTGTATATATTTATAGAAAAAGGTTTCCCCTTGACATTAAGTCGTTGTCCCCTCCCAGGTCGAGGAAGGTAGGATAGAAATGAAGTAAGTAAATAAATAAATAGTCGTGTCTGACTCGGGGGTGTGGTGGGGTGGGGTGGTGGTCATCTCCATGTCTAAGCTGAAGAGCTGGCATTGTCCATAAATGCCTCCAAGGTCATGTGGCTGGCATGATTGCATGGAGTGCCATTACCTGCCCGCCAGAGCGGTACCTATTGATATACTCACATTTGTATGTTTTCGAACTGCTTGGTATCTGAGTGTATTATTTAGGAGTTTGGGAATTTTTGTTAGGAGAGCAGTACAGGAAAAGAACAGTTAAGTCTTTGTCCCTCCCCAGTACCAAAGTCCCAATGTTAAAATAATAAAAAATAGAAATGTGATCTTATATTATACATATTTTGTCAATTTGCATCTTGATATCTGGGCTGGTATAAACCCATTGATGATCTCTTAACAAAGAATGCTGAGGACTTTCATCTAGTGATTATTATAAGAGGAATTGCTTATTTACTGATTGATGGACTGTCTTGGTTAATTATTTTTATTCCTGGATTGTTGAATCCAATGATGTAAACAAGTTTATTTATTTACTGGTCTTATGAATTGCTGAGTACCACGCTAAGCACTTTTATGTTTCTTGGATTCAGTGTGATTAAGATTATTTTAAATAACACTGATTTTAGTGGAATAGCCCCTGGGATTAAGCATGGAAGAAACACTGGGAATAAGTATGAGCTTAATCCTAGTGCTTTTTCCACACAAATCAAGTGTGATTTAAAAGAACTCAACGGTTAGCTTTTGATGCAGCATTACTTCCTTTCTTCTTTGTTTGTAGCAGGGCTTTGAAATTGGTAAACAACATTTCTGCCTCTTGACTCCAACCCCTTTCCTACTCTCTAATTCTTGACTGACTCCTTTATAAATGGCAAAGTATATTGATTAATAATAATAAAATAATAATAATAGTGAAATGGCACCACAAAGAATTTCATTATCTCCACATGATATATTAAACTACCACTTACATTAATAGAACATATAAATATATTTGATTAACAATTTCCCAAATCCCTGTCAAAATAAAAATATGACAAATTAAGAATTTAATATACCTTAAAAGGTGATATACTTACTATATGCAGTATGACCCTCCTAATCACAGACCCAATATCCATGTTTTCACTTACCCAAATTCCAAAAAATATTACACCCGAAAGTATGTGTGGGCCTGTCTAGGTCCTCCAGTTTGATTCTAGTCTAAATGCTGTTATCCACAGTTTCAGATATTTACAGTGGGTCTTGGAACATATCACCTGAGGATATGATGGTCATGCTGCCTTGTTATCATATTGTTAGCTTTTATTTTGAAGCCAGAGTTGGAGTTGGTACATTTCTGTCAACTCTGACTCCATCCAGAATTGTACATTGCATTTTGATATGTAGGATTCATCCATCTCATGTGTGAGCTCACACGCTGCTGTGTGGCAGTTACATCTATATTTATTCAAATCTCTTTAATCTTTTCAAGGTCGACATAGAAATTAATGGAGAATCTGTGGATTTGCACATGAAACTAGGGGACAACGGAGAAGCATTTTTTGTGGAAGAAACAAATAATGACAAGGTAAAGTAATGCGACTCACCATGACTACTTTCATTTGTGATAAATTGTGATGTCTGATGTTACTCTAGTAATTCAGCAAGCATGATTGTGTTGCCAAGCTGTGTCATCAAGCTGTGGTAGGCAATCTGGTTTCCTCCAAATACTTTGGACTTCACCTGTCTTGACGTTTTAACCCAGTGGTTCTCAGCCTGTGGGTCCCCAGGTGTTATGGCCTATAACTCCCAGAAATCCCAGCCAGTTTACCAGCTGTTAAAATTTCTGGGAGTTGAAAGCTAAAATATCTGGGGACCCACAGGCTGAGAACCAGTTCTTTAACCCCAGTCCTTGCTGGTTGAGGTTCTGGGTTGAGATCCATTGTAGAGATAAAGCTACTCAATAGGACTTTATCCATTCTGTTTGCCCATTATTTCCCACCACTTCCTGCCTCTTCAGAACTTGCATTATTTGCAGCGACCAGTGGAAGCTGGTTTGGGCTACTGAAAGCAGCAGTCCAACAGCATCCTGTTACCATGCTTGTGTTATGTAATATATGTGAAGGTGTTCTTTTTCATTGCAGCACGTAGCCTCTGGCAGAGGAAAACATGCTTTCAAGAAGATTGTTTACTATATAATTGATTGAAACTATTATGAGACTTGGCTAAGTTGGCAGGTGTCATCTGTACTAATTTGTGGACATTCTGAGAGACTTAGGGCCCTTCCACACAGCCCTATACCCCAGAATATCGAGGCAGAAAATCCCACAATATCTGTTTTGAGCTGGGTTATCTGAGTCCATGCTCCGATACTGTGGGATTTCCTGCCTTGATATTCTGGATATAGGGCTGTGATTTCCTTCCTTGCAGTCTTTCTTAACTTTCCTTTTCCCCAGAATGCATAGCCTGTTAATTGGAGTTTTAGTTCTGCTAAGATGATGCAAGGCAGGGGTGCATTGTTGTCTATGCACAGAGAAGGAAGTCAGATTGAGGAAGAAGAGCATATTATGTGGGGTGTAATAGGGAGCAGGAGATGGGGGTATCATTTTCTAAATATGAATTTTGACCTATTTTCGCCTGCCCCCAAATTTCTAACATTGTTGTAGACAGACTTTCAAAATGCTCCACACCTAGAATTATATGTTTGAAGTTTAGTTTGCCTCTTTTCTTTGGATGCTTACACTGTATTTCTAAAAGTTCTAGGGGAAGTTATACATTTCTTTTTGTAGCAGTGCCCTTTGTTTGTCCCTTCCCTGGTAGCTGCTATTACGTTGCGTTCACCAGGCAGATGCAGCTCTTCACAACGTTGTATCATGGGATAGATAATATGCATGATGAGTGCTTGCATGGCTGAGGTGGAAATCATATAGACATTGGTTTAGTGCATTGCTATCAGTGGGATTTGCAGGCAGTCCCTGAGTTACAAACATCTGACTTACAAATGACTCATAGTTAAGAACGAGGGTGGTGTGAGACAACAGGAAGTGAGAGAAATAGACCCCTCGGAAGGAAAAATCACTCATGAAACAGTTATCATGGGTTAAAGGTGTCTCCACTGAAGTTTTATCACCAATCCTTATTTCCAAAACAACCCAGATTTTTCAAAATCCAACGATCATAGGGACAGAAAGTGAGGTGAAATTTCCTGAACAGGGGCACAGACAACAAAGCAAACATTGCAGGAGTGTTAACCCTTCCGTATTCTATCCAAAGCATGCATATACATATACATATACATACACACAGACACACACACACAGAGCTGGAATTACATTTAAAAATTTACCTGTTCTACATACATACAAATTCAACTTAAGAACAAACCCACAGAACCTCTGTTGTTCATAACTTGGGGACTGCCTGTACTGCCCTGAAAGAAACGGGTTAGCATCTAAATTGAGCCTTGTGTTCTCTAAAATATGAAGCAGCTGAAAGGTAATGTTAACTTGCCAAAAGCACACATTGGACAATTTCTATAAAGCCTAGAGTGTTCATGTTGCCTTGGGCAGGGTTTGAAAAACTGCCTGTCAAGAAGAATGAATGTAATGATTCATAGACTATCCATGATTGAACTGGTTGAATTATCAAGGAGGGGACCAGAGCATTTTCCTACCACTACTAAAGTAAGGATGACTTCTACATGTCATTCTATTTATACTTCTTTAAAGTAATTTAAGCTGTTTCGCTCTTTCTTTGGAGAAAGTCTGTACAGGGCATTAGTTGACAGAGACGTTGGCCCTCTACATTTGCATTTTTTACATTTACCGATTTAATTATTTACTAGTTTGTAGCTACTACTTTATTAGTTCCACCTCCTTGTTTCAATCTTTCTGTTTCCTCACCTCTCCATTGCTGTCATTCCCACAGTGCCAGTCCCTTACTCCAACATCCCATTGGAGCATCATCAGCATTTTAAACTCCTTCCTCCTTGCTTCCTCCTCACCTTCCCATCGAAGCAATATTTGGGTTTCAAACCCTTTCCTTCTTCTCTTCCTTCCCTGAACTCTATTGCCGTCATCCCACCGCAAGCCTCTGCCTGGATTTAAAGCCCTTCCTCACTGATCCACCTTTTCTTAACAACAACAACAACAACAACTTATTTATTTATATCCCGCCCTCTCTCCCTGGAGGGATTCAGGGCAGTTTCCAAAGTATAACAAAAGTGGCAAACATTCAGTGCCAGGAGCAAATAAACAACAGTCATAACGAAACATAAAATAAACTAAATTTAACTTATTCTTCCACTCACCTAAAAACCACCACATGTTCAGGCTGAGACTTCTGGTTGGATGACAGGCAGTGGAGTCTGGAGTGTCCTAGCTGAGGCAGTGAAAGGTAAAGGGAGTAAAAAGAGTGAGTGAGCAGGAAACAGATGGACAGGTAGGGTTGATGCATCGAAGATTGGTCAGCCATTGATGTGTGTGTGTGTGAACTAGAATTATTCTTGATTTTTCACTTTTGCGGGAATCCTAAAATGATCCTGTGTTACTAAAATGATCAAGGGACTGGAGGACAAGCCCTATGAGGAGCGGCTTAAAGAGTTGGGCATGTTTAGCCTGAAGAAGAGAAGGTTGAGAGGAGACAATAGCCACGTATAAGTATGTGAGAGGAAGTCATTGGGAGGAGGGAGCAAGCTTGTTTTCTGCTGCCCTGGAGAATAGGGTGCAGAACAATGGCTTCAAACTACAAGAAAGGAGATTCCATCTGAACATTAGGAAGAACTTCCTGACTGTGAGAGCTGTTCAGCAGTGGAATTCTGCCCCAGAGTGTGATGGAGGCTCCTTCATTGGAAGCTTTTAAACAGGCTGATTGGACATCTGTTGGGGGTGTTTTGAACGCAATTTTCCTGCTTCTTGGGAGGGGGTTGGACTGGATGGCCCATGAGGTCTCTTCCAACTCTATGATTCTATGATTCTAACCCACATGAATGCAGAAACCTGACAGTAATGTTTTGTCTTTGTCCTTCTTTTCTCCAGGAAGCGATTCCATACCACCTGGCTACCTCTCCAATTATTTCAGAGGGGGCAGCCCTCATGGAATTACAGATGAAGAGAAACTCAATCGAAAGGATAAGAAACATTGATGCTGGGACTTCTTCTCAGCTGCCAAATGCCGCCTCTACATCTGCAAATGAATCCATCTCTGCAGGAGGTTCTGTGAAGAAAAGGAGGAAGCGGAGAAGGAAATCTACCCATAAAATTGACATTTCAAAAAGAGATGAAAATGCAGATACCAGTGAAGATGAAAATGTGTTCGCTATAGAAATCTCTGATGAAGAAAATGAGCTGCTAGAAAATACAAGGTATGGTTGTTGACTAAACTCAGTGACATCATTTATTCAGAGATATTAATGTTCTGTTAGAAAATAGTTACAAAAATGCAATAAATAATGCATACCTCCTCCACTTTTTTTAAAGTAAATTTAACAACACCATTGAGTATGTCGGCTAGGGCTACAACATTTGAAGGGTCTTAGTTATAGGACATCTTTAGACACTAAATGTTATATTGGACAGGCATATTCTTATATCAGTCAAAGTTAATTTATTGAATTAATTTTTAAGGTTAAGATTTTATAAAAATCAGATTCAGAGGAAAACTGGTTTATTTAAGGGTCATAGTAGCCTAGCAAGTCCCTATATCAGGAGAAAGGAGGGATAAAAATTAAGTACACAAATAAGTGTTTTTAATCAAAGTGTATAGGGACACTCTGGAAACTCTAAATATCTGACTTCCAAAATACGAGGATTCACACTTTATTTGGTAGGGGCATATATCCTCTGGATATTGGATATTGTTTTTGTTGTGACATTAGTTTAAATTCAAATTTAACACTACTTACAACAGACACTTTGAAATTGAAGGTAGTCATTATTGATTTGAGATCTTTTTAAATTCCATGTTGTTTCTCCTAAGGCTTCATTTCTGTTGGCTAGTGTAGATGGTATTGGTAGCAATATGGTATACTTCCATAATGACTATAGGGCTGTGGTGGCACAACGGGTTAAACCACTAAACTGCTGAACTTGCTGACCAGAAGGTCGACAGTTTGAATCCACAGGATGGGGTGAGCTTCTGTTGTTAGCCCCACCTTCTGCCAACCTAACAGTTTGAAAACATGCAAATGTGAATAGATCAATAGGTACTGCTGTGACGGGAAGGTAAACAGCGCTCCATGCAATCATGCCAGCTACATGACCTTGGAGGCATCTATGGACAACGCCAGCTCTTCAGCTTAGAAATGGAGATGAGCACCACTCCCCAGTCGGACACGATTAGACTTAATGTCAAGGGGAAACCTTTACCTTTACCTTTTACAGAATTACTATAGCTGCTGTGATTATTGAGGAGACAGTAGTGGAAGTGGCTTCCAGGAGGAGAGCTTTATTTGACAATAGAGCCAGCATGCTCACTCCCACTACATACTGCTTGAAAAAGTGCCATGTGTCAATATAATCGATTGATTGTCAGCATAAGGTTCAAAAATGTTTCTGACAATATATGATTAAGTCTAGATCAAGCTCCTTGGGTTAAACAATTCATAAAATAGTAGGAGAGGAATGAATATTCTTGCAGTGGTAATACTACTCTAGGGATCTATATTATTGTAATTGTGATGTATCGGTCTTACACCGTTACTAATGTAAGCCGTCCTGAGTCCCCCTTCGGGGGTAGAGAAGAGTGGCAGAAATAAATAAATAAATAAATCAGCTGAGATTATGAGAGATGGGGGTTTCATCATAAAACCCTGTTCCTTTTTTCTTTTGGTTTATATTCAGAACGTCTATCCCTGATCTGTGTAAGGATGATGCACTTGAAGTAAACTGCTCTGCAATCAACATACTTTCTCATCCTCATTCAGATGGAGAATGGTCACCCACACAAAGGTACAGTATACATTATTGGAATTCGCTTAAATCTCTTCATCCGACAAGTTCAGGCAGCTGAATGGAAGGAAGTTCTTCCTCATATCTATTTTCCATGTTACGATTCTGTATCTCATGGCTCAACTCCACATTTCACATATACTCATTCAACATAACCAGCCACTCCATGCTTTGTGGAGGACTTAAATGCAAGGTTACATTTGAATATACACAAAAAGTGATCTCCATTTGCAAGTAGTATCAAGAGAGGCCATCTGCCACTGAATATCAGAGTAAAAGCCACCCCCTTTGGTTTTTGAACGTTAGGAAATCCAGATTCGGTGTCCCATAGTGGTTCTCAACCTATGGGTCCCCAGGTGTTTTGGCCCACAACTCCCAGAAATCCCAGCCAGTTTACTAGGACCTAGTGAGACAGCTCTGTGAATGCCATACAGCTTCTTCCTTGTCAATAACGGGAGAATAAAGAATATTACTTGATTAGAAAGCTCTGACTTCCATAACACCAAATTCACATGTGTGTGTCTTCCAGCTGTGGAACATGATGTACAGTAGAGTCATAGGATTCAAAATCATAGGATTCAAAAAAACGTGGCAAGGCAATTAAACATTATTAACCAGTTTTGAAACAGTCTTTATATAATTTAAAACGGGTCTATCTTCCCCTCTACATTTATACATTAAACTTTGGCAATTGGATTCCTTACAAATTGTACAGATTTGTTTTCAAGCATGTTAAATAATATTTGGGGGGGGGGGAGCATAGATACTTTCACATTTTCCCCACTGTTCTGTGCCCCTAATTCCCATGGATATGGAGAGACAGCTGTAGTTTTATAATAATATTTTTAATCCAGCATACACTTTTCACCAAAGAAATGCTATATATCCAAAAGTATCCAAAAGTATATTTGTGTGTTATATGCTTGTGTGTATATACTTAAATATATACATATACATATGCGCATATATATATGCATACATACATATATATGCATATGTCTGATAATATATCTACTTGTTTTCTGATATGTGCATGTCAATTCACATTTTGATGTTCTTTCCACATTATGAAGCATCACACCAAGAGAAACTATTCTGTTTCCGTAGTGTTGATTGCTTCCTTTCCTGTGTTATAAATAGTTGCATATTAAGTTCACAGGCAAATGTGAAAGTTCTTGTGCCTTTCTGAACTGTGATTGTTTTTCTGTATGCTTGCTACAGTTGTCCTATATTTTATCACTTAATAACTCCATCTTATTTAATATACATTCCTTGTTTTCAGGGGCCCCTGTTTGGGGCTCCATCAGCATATGTTGATTGGCATATATGATGGAATAATGATGCCTAATTTTTCTTTCTTTTACTATACGTTGCCCTGAGCAGTAAACCTAGAACATGTACAGGGAAGTCCTCTCATCTTACTGTTCCACCAGAGGGAGGCTTATCTAGTTCTTGTCCTCACCAGTCTTCTCACTATCCAGCCACACGCAGGTAGAACAGCTGCTCTCCCATTTTATTTGCAATGAAGACTAACCCTTTTAATATTTCTAATGCATTGCAAACCTGGTGGTACTGATCAAACTACTACCTATGACTAACCTAGTAAGCCTAAAGGTAAATGATTCGTTTTCTCAAAATAACTCCGTAAATGTCCATTCTGCAGCAATAAATCCAGAAATCTAATACCTGTTTAGAATCATAGAATAATAGAGTTGGAAGAGACCTCATGGGCCATCCAGTCCAACCCCCTGCCAAGAAGCAGGAGGTGTTTAAAAGAATTGATAGTTGGCTTGAAAGCCTTACAGTGGTCTTCATTTTGGTGTCATTAGATAACATACTCAAGTTTGGTGACTCTGGGATCAAGCATGACAATCTATGACATCGATTGTAGCGTGATAAACAGAAAGACATGAAATCATACCACAAAGGGTTTCAAAAAGATGGACCCGGTTTGAAATCACTATATTCTGCAATTATTAATAGCTCATGAATGAAACTCTTACTGCTTGAAAGGGTGGGGATAGAGTTTCAAAGGATTGTGGAAGGCTTTGACAGCTGGAATCACTGGAGTATTGTGTGGTTTCTAGGCTGTATGGCCGTGTTATAGCATCATTTTCTCCTGATATTTCACCTGCATCTGTGGCTGGCATCTTCAGAAATCCTCTGAAGATGCTGGCCACAAAGTGCAGGTGAAGCGTCATGATAAAATGCTGCTAGAACACACCATACAGCCCGGAAGCCACACAACACTTCAGTTTCACAGGGTTACTTCTTTATGCATTTCCCAGTGCACAAACAGCGCCTGGCCTCAATTATTCAAAAGATGGCAATCCAACAACACGAAACTAATTAGATAGTCTTCATTTACAGAGTTATTTTTTCAACTTGTTTCTGTCTCAGAACGGTTATTATAACTTGATAACTCATTAATCAATTTGTTGTGTAATTATAACATGCTACCATTGTGGAATATACTGCTTTGAAAATGATATGTCCGTTATTTTAAAACTACCTGTAGAGTATGGCTGTTAGATCTATCTCTGTGGAGCAAAGAGTATTTTACGGTCACTCTTCCTGCAGTTGCTTCAAATTGAGGGGGATTGGTGTTAGACCCTAGTTTACAACCCGTGGAGCTCCCATTCAGATAGGAGAAGCTTGAAGAGGAGTGCGTTGCACTAGGCAGTTTTGCACTAGGTAGTGTTGCACTAGGCAGTTTCACCAGAGAACTATCTTGTTCCTACTCTAAGCCATGCACTTTATTCTTGGCCACTTATTGGTTTCTCGACACTTTCTAAAAGGGTATTTCTCAGCCTCTCTTCACTTGAATCCCGCACTTTTCACTAGCCCCATCTCAGAATCATTGCACTTATTTGAGCCTTATCCCAGGTTTGAACTTTATCTTAGCCTTATTGTTTTAATATGATGTTTTGTGATTGTGTTGTGTTTTTATTTGATTGATTTTAATGCTGTTTTATTGTAACGTGGGCTTGCCCCCTTGTAAGCTGCCCCGAGTCCCTTCGGGGAGATGGTGGTGGGGTATAAGAATAAAGTAGTACTACTAATAGTAGTTATTATTATTATTATTATTGTTATTATTAGTATTATTGAAGCCTCTTTGCACCACAAACCACACACTATCTAGACAATCCAATATAAGAATTTATTAAAGGTAGGCAAACCTATGCCTTTCAAAGACAGGGTATATAAATCCAAGGCATACAAAACTATGCCTCACAAGACCAGTACACAGGGACTACTTGAAAACTTGGTTACATGAATTCCAAGGCCCATGATATTGAGAGCGTTGCACCTGAACACAGCATTGCTCTCACAAAGATTATACCAACATGAACCACTTTTAAAAAGCCAAAATCCCTCCCATTTCTTTTGCACCTGCTTTCTTTATTTCTAAGTCGCCTGGGGAAGCGAGTCCTTAATTGCAGGCCTTGTTGTCTCATCTCAATCTCTTTAAAGCTTGACAAACATTCGTCTCCCCCATTTCCCTCAGACTGCACCTCTGGCAGGTTCCCATGGGAACGAAACTCGCCTTCCCCATTCTCTTGGAAACTGCCAGGAGATTCAAAAACATTTCTCTCCGGGCCCTCTGAATCTCTCCCAGCCTCTCCTTCCTCATCTTCTGAACACTTAGAATCTGATCAGGCTACAACAGAGTGGTGGTAAAACCCGGAGTATATTTGTGGACTCCGTGTGGATGGATCCATCAGTTACTTCCCTGCATGTTGCCAAGGATTTCATGCAAGCACTGTTGTCTTAGATGCCCATATGGTGCCCCTAGGCCTTCCAAGGTAGCTCTGCTTAAGCATGGATCACATGCATCCAAATGTGTGCTTTGGAGTGTGCATTTGCATGCTGTGCCTCTGCGTGAAAGAGCCCAGTATGATAATCTACATCATTGGTTTCCAACCTTTCGTCTTCCAGACTTCAGCTCCCACAATTCCTAACAGCTGGTCAACTGGCTGGGATTTCTGGAAGTTGAAGCCCAAAACACCTGGAGGATCAAAGGCTGGAAACCACTGATCTAGATACAAGGACATACCTAATGTTTTTTTTTTTACTACTTTTAACCAAAGGGGTCTTTACATTTCAAAACTAGCTGGCAGTTTAGCGTCCGTCAGGAAAAGCTGCCTTGTGTTGAAAGTTAACGGATCGAAATCTATTCCTTCTTGCTGATTTCAACAGAATTCTGGAGGAATAAAGATATCTTTCATGAAACACAGAAAGCAGACAGGCTAATAATAAGACAACAGTGCTTTTCAGTGAACGTTAGTTTAAAAGGAGTTCATGGTTGTGGGTAAATAACATAGGAGAGAATTGAAACCAGTTCCCCCAGGCTTCTCAGCTATACAAAATCCAGTTATTACGTTTGACAAAGAGAGAATTATCTTAATAGAGAATCCCAGAAGACAACTCATTGGTTGTTCTTCCCTTCGTAGAGCTAATGGAGGAAACTCCTATATACAGTCATCCCCAAGTTCCAAACAAGATAGGTTCTGCATGTTTGTTCTTAAGTTGAATTTGTATGTAAGTCAGAACAGGTACATTTTTAAGTGTAACTCCAGCCAAATATATATATATAGAGAGAGATAAATAGAGGAAGAGAAAGAGAGAAAAAAAGAGAGGGATAGAGATAGAGTGAGCGAGTGAGCTTTGGATAGGATAGGATACGGAAGGGTTAAGGGGCCATGGTGGCACAGTGGGTTAAACCACTAAGCTTGCAGAACTTGTTGATCAGAAGGTTGGCTGTTCAACTCCATGGACAGGGTGAGCTCCCATCGTTAGCCCCAGCTTCTACTAACCTAGCAGTTGGAAAACATGCAAACTGTGAGTAGATCAATAGGTACCGCTTCTGCAGGAAGGTAACAGTGCTCCATGCAGTCATGCTGGCCACATGATCTTGGAGGCATCTATGGACAACTCTTGCTCTTTGGCTTAGAAATGGAGATGAGCACCAACCCCCAGAGTCGGACATGACTAGACTTAATGTCATGGGGAAACCTTTACCTTTAACGCCCCTGTGGCATTTGTTTTGCTCTCTGTGTCCCTGTTCAGAAGATTTCACTTCATTTTCTGTCCCTGAGAGACTTGGATTTTGAAAAAAAAATGGCTTGTAGAAACAAGGATTGGTGATAAATCTTCAATTGAGACCTTTTTCCTCATGATAACTCTTTCAGAAGTGAATTTCCTTTCTGAAGGGTAGATTTCTCTCACTTCTTGTTGTCTCACCCCCATTCTTAACCAAGAGTTGTTTGTAAGTCAGATTTTTGTAACTCTGGGACTACCTGTACTGTACTTTTGTGCATGGAGGGAAAATCTGTTCTTTTTGTTTCATCTTTCCTAAGATTTCCTAAGCTAGCAAGGAATTAGCAAGTTGTTCAACTGATTGGGGGAAAAATGCTCTATTATACGTTAAGGAATTAACAGCTAAGGGCTAAATCTCACTTTCTGAGAACCAGATCTTGACTGTTTTCATCAGATGCAAAAAAAGTGTTTCCTCTTTCTCTTGTCTCTCTCTGTTATCAGGCAAAGACGTAATCAATCAATCAAACAAGTCTTTAATTAATTGATTGATTAATGTCTTTATGTGTTAAATGCATATATTCGTTCAGACAAGCCTTTGGCATTTTAGATAGCTTATGGACAGAAGGAGGAAGGAAGATTGATTGTATTATTAATTGGCTTGAATATCATTTTTTGTGAAAGGCACAATATCAATAAGAAAATAATACGATGGAGATGTCCCTTTTAACTGGAGTTGGTGACAGTAAGTTTAGTGGGCTAGATGGATAGAAAGAGCTTTACCATCTTCCAGTCCCTTTTATCAAAGCATTTTCTCCCAGTCATTTGAATTGCTGACCTTTATGCTTATTTAACTGCGTGGGAAAATCTGTAGGCGGGAAGAACGTCTCTTGTCTTAAACAACTTGTAGCTGTCTCTTGTGTTTCCTTTTTCACTTCCTCCGTACATTTATAGGTTCATAATTTCCCTTCTGTAGAGTCTCTTGGTTCACTGTCTCTGATTTAAAAGATAGCAATAGGTTTCCTGGTGTTGATTTTTGTAAAGCTATCATTTCTAGATCGCAGAGAAAGACATCTTTGGCCCCTTCAGAAGATGGCACTTGTCTGTAAATTTACACAAGAACTCTGAAAAAGTTGTGTCCTTCCACTCCTTATTGTTATTGCAAAGAATACATATACAGACATAGACATATTTCAGTTAACAAAGCCTCTAAGAGTGAAACAGAGCCCCCGGTGGCGCAGCGGGTTAAACCACTGAGCTGCTGAATTTGCAGACTGAAAGGTCAGCAGTTTGAATCTGTGGAGCAGGGTGAGCTCCCACTGTTAGCCCCAGCTTCTGGCAACCTAGCAGTTTGAAAACATGCAAATGTGATTAGACCAATAGGTACTACTTCGGCAGGAAGTTAACGGTGCCATGTAGTCATGCTGGCTACATGACCTTGGAGGTGTCTACGGACAATGCCGGCTCTTTGGCTTGAGCACCACCTCCCAGAGTCCGACTCAACTAGACTTCATGTCAAGGGGAAATCTTTACCTTTTTAAAGAGTGATTTATTTTTTATAAATGGCATCATTTCTACTTAATGAGTAAGCAGTAGGCTTGGGCCGAAAGTGATTTGTAATATTTGGTGGTGCGTTTCGTGTAATCTCCCAAAAACAGAACAGGGAGGAGGGAACTAAAAAGCTGGGTAAAACAGATAGAGAGAGCCAGATTTATCGGTTACTGGAGAGGATGGAGTTAAGTCTGCATTATACCTGAAGCAGGGGTTTGCTGAGGGGCTCCTGGAGAAGGTCCTGCAGTGACTTTTATCCCTCTCCAGGAGTGGATATTTCTCTAGGTCCTCCTCCAGGGAGGGCCCTGCTGGGAACATGATTTCCCAGCAGCACTTGCATAGGGTGGGCATTGAAAGGTCTCTTGAGTTCCTCTTGGAGCATGATGGGAGTTGAAGCTTCTCTCTCTCTCTGTGTTTCTCAGCCAGTAAAAGGCTTTGTTGTGTCCATGTTCTGATTGGCTGAGAATTGACACAACCGGCGATTACAATATCAAAACTCTGGTCAGTAGATGCCAGTCTTGTATAAAACAATGAGAGCTCTTAATCCTTCCAGATCCAGAACAGGTTTTTACAAAACTCAGAGACTTTTCAATGCCCACTCCATGCAAGTGCTGCTGGGAAATCAAGTTCCCAGCAGGGCCCTCCCTGGAGGAAGGATATATATCTAGGGTAGAAAGCTCAGTAAACTACTTGTTCAGGATGACACTAGCTCTCTTGATTGATTTAGGCAGGCGAAGACTTTGTTATCCCTTGAAAAAAAAATCAGGTTTCACATTATGAGACAATGAGAGGGAGCAGAGGAGGAATTGTCAAATTTTCCATAATTTGCACTAAATCCCCTTCTGCATAGTTTGTATATTTTTACCTTTGTGAAGCGCACACAAGAACAGAAGGAATGCCTGTCTGATCAAAAGTACCAGACAATTCATCCAATGTTTCTCATTTTTAAAAAAGTTCATGCAGAACGAAAAGTAGTTATTCTAATTCAGCTACTGCTACTGGAACTGGTTGTAAGTTTGGAGCAGTTTGATCCTCCAACTAGATACCTGTCTCTGTTTTAAAATAAGCTCTGTTTTTGTTAAATTATGCTTTGGTGGTCTACAGCAGACCCAATACTGTAGTCTTTTAGTTATGGGCTCAGTATTCCTTCTTAGAAAGTGGCAGAATTGGGTTCTTAAATAACTAATCCTACCCAGACTGTCCTATTCCTCAATCACCTACCCCGGTCCAGAACAAGTTCAATGGAAGACTGAATCCCAAGGTTCATATGATGCAGAAAACAAAGGAAATTAAATTGTTCAATCTTGGCCCATCTCACATCGCAGTAGTTGTGAGAACTGCGCAAGCAGGTAGGCAATACTAAAACTTACTCCCCGAATCCATTTCCAGCTATAGATCCTAAGTCTTCAAGCATCAGGCTAAAGTAAACTATCTAGAAAGCCATGTTAAATACAAATGAATGACTTCTTTTCCAGTGGACAGCAGTTATCGTTTGGTCATGATGTTAAGAATAGGAACTCTGAACTTGGCAGCAAAGACTAGGCTTACTACAGCTATACAATTTCATAGCATCATAGAGTTGGAAGACACCTTGTGGGCTATCCAGTCCAACCCCATTCTGCCAAGAAGCAGGAAAATCACATTCAAAGCACCCCTGGCAGATGACATCCAGCCTCTGCTTAACAGCCTGCAAAGAAGGAGCCTCCACCACACTCCAGGGCAGAGAGCAACTCTCCTTACAGTTGGGAAGTTCTTCCTAATGTTCAGGTGGAATCTCCTTTCCTGTAGTTTGAAGCCATTGTTCCACATCCTAGTCTCCAAGGCAGCAGAAAACAAGCCTGCTTCCTCCTTCCCTCACATATTTATACATGACCATCATGTCTCCTCTCAGCCTTCTCTCCTGCAGGCTAAATATGCCCAGCTCTTTAAGCCATTCCTCATAGGGCTTGTTCTCCAGACCCTTGATCATTTTAGTCACCCTCCTCTGGACACATTCCAGCTCTTCACATTTATGCAATTGATGTGTGCTGTGGAAAAATGATTGCAGATGCCACCTTGCTGTTGGGCAATTCAGGATAGCTGGAAGTTCTTTTAGGAGTTCTGACATTAATTTTGGAGTTCTGAGGATCTGAATCTCATGGTGTTTGACATCTAGCCTCTCTTGGCAAAGGCCTTTATCTTGTTATAGCTATCATTATTATGTTATTAGCTAAGAAGTGCATTTTGCATGTTTAGGTTCACTTTGGTACTAGCGCTATAATGGGAGTGTGCATCAAATTGGACTGAAGAGGTACATTTACATTTCTCCTCTTTTATCATACCTTTTCTCATTGTCTTACTTTTCTTCTCCCTCCTTTTTGCAGCCCCTCAGGATCCCGGCCTCCCACTCCTAAAAGTGATTCAGAACTAATCAACAAGTCTTCGGAAAGAGGTATTCTGAAGAGTGACCCCCAAATGCATTGGGACTGGGGAGAACTACCTCAAGCCACAAAGGTAAGAGAACAGGACAAAATGAAAGTGATAAAGTACAAGTTGAGCATCCCTTATCTCGAAATAGTCTAGAAACATTCAGTTGGGTGTCTGAGATAGTGATACTTTCGCTTTCTGATGGTTCAATGTACACAATGTACACAATGTACAGGCTTTTCCAGACAGAACACAATGGAATGATGAGAGGCAGTCTGTTTGGTATGATGTAAGTGGGATTTTGGATAGCTGTGTAATTTTAAAATGCAGTTTTAATTGTATTATAACTTTTTTACTCTCCATGACACAAAAGTTTTTTTGTTTGTTCTTATACTCATATTTGAATGCATTTTCCCTATTTTAACTGCATTATATCATGTTTTCTGTTAGCCATTTTGAATCCTTATATTAGGAGAAAGGCGAAACAAAAAGAAAATAAAGCAAACAAACAAATAAATAAATAAACAAGCAAATAAAGTTTCAAGTCAGATTTAGGGAGAAATTTGACATAAGCTTATTGTTTAACCATAACTTAATACAATGAAATGACTCTAGACTTGCAGTTGAGCGGTCTATCTAAGAACCCTTCAACACAGCCATATAACTCAGAATATCAATTCACAATATCTACTTTGAACCGAGTTACCTGTGTCCACACTGCTATATAATCCAGTTCAAAGCAGATAAGATGGGATTTTATACATCTGTGTGTAAGGGGCCTAATGCTGATGAGAACTGAACTTTAGAAATATCTGGAAGAGCAAAAATTCCCCAGGCTGGCCCTAGTTTTGTGTTCACAAATCATGTGCTTCTGCATTTCTTGCTCTCATCCAGAGGTTCTCAGCCTGTGGGTCCCCAGATGTTTTGGTCTTCAACTCCCATAAATTCTAACAGCTGGTAAACTGGCTGGGATTTCTGGGAGTTGTAGACCAAAACACCTGGGGACCCACAGGTTGAGAACCACTGCTCTAATCTTTCCCTCTTGACTAGTATCCATGAAGAGGTCACAAGTATCTGTTCTCATTGCACCCCTATTTTCAGCTTATCATTTTGTGTAAACGAAGAGAAAGTACGGTTTGTCCAAACATGATCATTTCAAACTATGTGTTTACATCCAATTGCTAGTCTCAAGTACAGTAGACCCATTGAAAAAGAGGCTGGACAGTTACCTGCTGGAGACGAAAGGAGATTAAAGTGTTTGAAAAGGGTTGTGGGAGTTGGCAGAGTACATTTTTGCCCATTTGCTCAAAATTGAGTTGCTTTTGGCATGGTTATCAGCTGAGTTCTCTGTTATGGACTGTCCTGCAGGTTACTCAGTTTGTAAAAAAAATCATTTTGCACACTTTTAAGAAATCTACTCAAGTTTGTTTTGGATCCTGCCAATGCTGTAACATTTATACAGCTACAACGGCCTTGGGGCAACGTTGAGAGAAAGACAGGATGTAAATAAAATAAAATAAAATATATCCCCTTGATGCCATGGATCTCCTTGTTAATGAACCCTGTAAAAATGAGCAGACACTTGTTGATGATGAGAGATTCTTGTCCTGTACTTCAGTATGACTATATGTGTGTATGCGGAGGTGTCCACTTACACACAGCCACCCACCTCCACAAACAGTTATAACCCACAGTGCTGGGAAACCACTAAAAGCACTCCAGTGACATTGCAGGTTATAGTGAGCACCATAAACATGTAGCCCAACCCCTGACAATGACAAACGTCATACTGCCCCCCGACCCAAGTGAAGGCTTTCATACAGGGACAATTTCCTCCTAGATTTTCAGTTTTTTCTCCAGAATTGACATCCCAGGGTTCCTTACTCCCTCCAGTGGTGTGGAAATTGCGTGACCCTGCCCATTGCCTCTCCCTTAACCCTTTCCTACCCTTTCCTGTGGCACACGGCAAACAGAGGAATTGATCAGCAACTGAACAAGAGATTTGGGCAAAATTCACCATGATTTATAAAAGTTGTAGTTCAACTACATCCAGAGAGCACTGTGAACCTAACCAACAATGAATCTGGACCAAACTTGGCACAGTTGATGGGACTTGCATGCCTTTTCTAATGGGAGCATTCATAAAAAACAGGACTGTTTTTTCTTCTTTTAAGAAATAGAGCTAGAAACTGCCAAACTGATATCATCTAACATCTGAAAACAAACAATGCTTTTTTTCAAATAATTTAGCCAGGTCCCCAAAGCTAGTCATAACCGCTTTGAGTCTCCTGAGGGCTGAGAAAAGCGGTATATAAATAAAGTAAGTAAATAAATAAATTTGCATGAACGCTAAGATTTTGTGGCTCTTGCAACCCTTCCAAAACTTTTTTTTGGTCAGAAATCTGAATCGGTGTCACAAGGTAGACACAGTCACAGAAATATTAAATTTACACCCCACCTTTCTTCTACCAAGACAAAACACATGGGGACTCCAAGGCAGCCTCCCATTCATGCACTGACCAAAACAAAACTCTATTAAATAGTTTTCACAAAGTAGGCCCTCATATACCTCGGTCAGAACCTTTGCACTTAATAACAATAGTATAATGTGACCTAAAAGCATCTTTCAGTGGCACTTTTGTAGTTTGACCATGTCCTCTGAACCTATTGTTAATCCCAAGGGTATGCTTGATTTCTCCCTTTCTAGACTTCTGCTTCGCTCAAGCCAAAAGAATCCAGCACGACAGTGAATGTGTGTCCTTCTGAAAGCACGCACTTCCGAACCATTCCGAGTAACAATTCGGAAGATCTTCCAAGTACATCTGCCTTGCCTGTCCTTTCGCAGGATAGTACAGTGATAGCTCTGGATGAAATTGAACACCGGAGGGCAGCTGTGCCTGAGATTCAGGAGCCAGATGTTGACACTTTAGGGGCAGCTGCTCCTCCGCTCCCTGCAAGCGAAGAAGTAAAACAGGCTGCGACGTGCACGATGCACCCAGTGAGCAAAACAGACTCTCCCTCCAGGAAAAAAGGTATGGGTGGCTTTGTTCTGCACAATTAAGATGTATACACATACTCTGGGATTATGAAACTGAAACAGTTTGTAATTGGAGACTCAAACAGACCTAAGTGCTGAGAGAAAGGAGTTTGTGTCATATCAATCAGGAACATGAATCTGGCACTTCAGAGAGAGAGAAAAGGAAGAGAGGAAAGTTTCTTTTTCCGATTGAACGTGGGTTGCAAACCAGCTTTAGCCACAGCAAACCTCCAGATGCAAATCTTTCTAGGTCATATCCTTTACCTGGATGATTGATAATCGCTACAGCATTGTGAGGCTGGGTTGGACTGGTTCTTAAGGCCAGTAGGTTAGGTCTATGTGGCCATACCTCCTGATGTCACCAACTATTTTGCTCAAATGCTGGCTTGAGCTTCTCATCCCAAGAGCTGGCTTTCTCCCTTACACAATCAAAGCCAGGCACGCTCGCCTTTGACAGCCATTTGGGCTCCATGGTTGTGATTCAGCCTTTGAAGCACAATCTGAGAACTCCTGTCTCATTTTCCTGATCAGCCACTACTTAGTATCACTAATTTACCCACATATTAAGAGTGAAAATGAAAATTTGTTGCTGGATGAAGGCATTTCTGTTTTCTATCTCCTCTGCAAACTACTTTTTTTACCACATTCCAGGAAGTAGGAGTTTCTACATACCCTCCTGATGTAGGCATGTGTGTGCAACAACAATATTGCATAAAAGTTCAGCTAACTGTGTAAGTGGGTGCTTGTCACCACCAGAAATAGCACAGGATCCACGCCACCCCGCTTTACAAGCTGTTTTTTAATGCTTGCTTGCTTTGTGACTGGGCTGTTTGAAAGAGTCATAATCTCAAATACAATTGTGCATCTCCTGCCTGACCCATTTGATGAAGGGGTTGATCCTTCTAGTGTTGTCATATTCTGGAATCTACTAAGATCAGTACATCATGTTGGTTCTCACTGTGAGAAAGGCAGGATATTAAATACAGCAATACATATAAATATTGTAAATAAATTCCTATACAATTTTTTCAGTAGATCTTTTTTGTGTCAGGAGCAACTTGAGAAACTGCAAGTTGCTTCTGGTGTGAGAGAATTGGCCATCTGCAAGGATGTTGCCCATGGGACACCCAGATGTTTGATGTTTTACCATTTTTCTGGGAGGCTTCTCTCATGTCCCCGCATGGAAAGCTGGAGCTGACAGAGGGAGCTCAGCCCGCTCTCCCGAGATTTGAACTGCAGACTTGTCGGTCAGCAGTCTTGCTGGTACAAGGGTTTAGCCAATGGGCCATCCAGGGCTCCTTTTATTAACATTGCAAATTGGACTTTTTAGAAGAATCCATGATAATCTGCAAGCTTCTTTGGGTATAACTTTGGGAGAAAGGCAACATGCAATAAATCAATACATTTTCTTTTCGGGGGCGGGGGAATTACCACTGGGATTGATGACACTATATTAACATTGTTTGTGCATTCCACAGATAAGCGGAACCGACATCTTGGTGCGGATGGTGTATATTTGGATGACCTCACAGACATGGAGCCAGAAGTTGCTGCACTTTATTTTCCTAAAAAGTATGTATGCTATTATTAGCACTTACAGTGTTATTGCCTGTTGATCAAACATGACATGTATGTGCTCCCCCCCACCCCCCACCCCCCCGTACTGCCGCTGACAACGTAAAGTTCAGATTTCCTCCCGCTGCAGGATGTTGTGCCCAATTATAGAAATCTGTGTATCTGTAATGTATTTTCTTGGAGTTGTGTAAACTGACACAATGGGTTGCCTTGAATCAGCAAGAACTAAATGTTTCGATTTTATTTTTCCTAATGTTTTCAACCTTCATTTGTTAAGAGAATACAGTCGAAGTTGCAAATTGGCAAACAAAAGAAACAGGTTAACAATGGGCAACTTATTGGTCATTGAGGACGTTAACAACATTAAGCATTGTTTTTAATGTCCTCAATTAACATTGTGATGCCGAGTACATAAGAATTACTGAGCATCACATTTTCAGGTTTACATCCGTAGTCATATTGTCTATGAATATTGCACGTTTAATGGATAAATGAATGTCTAGGCATATGAGCTTATGAAGTATCCAAAGGAGATTTGAGGGTGTAATAGAATTTATGCTGTCCAGTCTTGATCAGTGGAAATACCAGAAGCTTCAGAGTGAATCTAAATGCCATTAGCTACATTCACACTGCAGAATTATTGCACTCTTATTCCATTTAATCTGCTTCACTTTCATCCTATAAAATAAAGGTAAAGGTTCCCCCAGACATTAAGTCGAGTCATGTCCAACTCTTGGGGTTGGTACTCATCTCCATTTCTAAGCCAAAGAGCCGGCATTGTCCATAGACACTTCCAAGGTCATGTGGCTGGCATGACTACACAGCACTGTTATATTCTCGTCAAGGCGGTACCTATTGATCTACTTAAATTTGCATGTTGTTAAACTGCTAGATTGACAGAAGCTGGGCCAAACAGTGGGAGCTCACCCCGCTCCCCGGATTCAAACCGCCAACCTTTCAGTCAGCAAGTTCAGCAGCTCAGCGGTTTAACCCACTGCACCACTGGGGATAGGGGCTATAGAGTCCTATCATTCGTCACTCAGAGCCCTTCCACACAGTCCACATATAACCCAGAATATCAAGGCAGAAAATCCCATGATATCGGCTTTGAACTGGGTTATCTGAGTCCCCAATTCCATATAGTCCAGTTCAAAGCATATAATTTTATTCAGCTGTGTGGAAGGGACTTTAGAGAGCTCTTGTAAATACAAGGATTTTTTTTTGTTGTGTCAGGAGCGACTTGAGAAACTGCAAGTCACTTCTGGTGTGTGAGAATTGGCTGTTTGCAAGGACGTTGCCCAGGTGACACCTGGATGTTTTGATGTTTTTACCATCCTTGTGGGAGGCTTTTCTCATGTCCCCGCATGAGGAGCTGGGCCTGATAGAGAGAGCTCATCCACGCTCTCCCCAGAATTCGAACCTATGACCTGTCAGTCTCCAGTCCTGCTGGCACAGGGATGAAGCCATTGTAGTAGTAGTAGTAGTAGTAATAATAATAATAATAATAATAATAATAATAATAATAATAATTTCCCATCTCCCCAAAAGGACTTGGGCGGCTTACAAGGCAAAATAAAATACATAAAATATACACAAAATTTAACCAAAATCAGAAAACACCAATTTTACCATAGCTGTTAATGGAGAATAACAGCACCATAATTGTGGAGTGTGAATACTTTAAATGCAGAATACTGTAAAGCAGATTTTTACAACCTCATAGTTTTCAGATGTTTTGGACTCCATCTCCCATCAGCTCTATCCAGCATAGTTAGTAGTCAGGAATATGGTTGCCCCAAGTGTCTGGGAAACACCAGGATGGAAAAGGCTGCTGTAAAAAAAAAAATCTCAATATATCAGCTATTAGAGCATCTATATGAAGTGACTAGGAATGTGAATATGTCAGAGGGAAAACTGCAGGAAATGCGATTAAGTGTTCTTTTTTTCTTTAGTGGTGAAAATATTGCCCACTTGAAGAACATGCATGACAATGGATCCCGCTCAACGAATCAGTCCCCTCAATCAGTTGGAAGCTCAGGCGTTGATAGTGGTGTCGAAAGTACCTCTGACGGAATAAGAGACTTGCCATCCATTGCCATTTCACTCTGTGGAGGACTTGGGGACAACAAAGAAATTTCTAAAGGTGTGCAACCGAACTGCAATTCTTAATAATGTGTCAGTCATCATGCCATGTTTATTTGAGAAATGCTCAGATCTTTTCTGGGAAACTATACACTGACCTCTTGTGGCTATGATATGGTAAGGCATGGCAGAGCAGGCCACAGAAAAAATAAAAATGAAAGCACATGTTATGACAAATATATTAGTCTGTAATTTCCCACAGGACATTTTGTTGCTTGTGTGTCAAGGATCATTCATTGTTTGCTTTAAGAAAAAAAGATATTAATGTGGATTGTTGCATTGTTTTCCAGCCTTTAGGGAATGTTCCCATGCACATTCTGTTCAGAGATATGACAGGGAGGATTGACATTCAGTCTGTTCTCTAAAGATAAAGCAAAATTTGAAACATGGATAGCTGACTGGGAGCAGAATTGGAGTGGAACACAACCCACTCTGAGCAATTATCTGCATTGTGTTGTATCAACCTGCCCCGATGTGGCCAATTTTTTCTCTTTTCTGAAGGCGGCACTCTGTTTTATGCAGTCTAATGGTGCATCTGCACTGTAGAATTCGCACAGTTTGCCACCACTTTAACTCAATGCAATGCAGTCCTTGTATTTGTAGTTTGGTGAGATATGAGCAGAGAAAGTGAAAGAACTTGTTAAAACTGCATCTCCCATGATTCCATACCATTGAGCTATGACAAAGCGGTGCCAAACTGCAGTAATTCTACAGTGTAGAAGCACCCCTAGTTTAGTTTGTCCCCCAAGATTATTTGCTTCCAGTGCCAATTACTTTTGGTTGTAATACCAAAAATGGCTGGCAGAAAACAACAGAAAACAATTCACACCTGGAGACTCTTGGCCCAAATGTCTTCAGCACCATGGCCCTTTCTGTCCTGCTTCAATTATTTTCAGAAGTTCATTATCATTTACTTATCACATTCCAATCAGGGGAAAATGTCCGTAAATATGTTTTCAAAAACTTTTTTGTTTAGTACTTTCAAACGTTGTGAAATGTTAAATCCCAAAACCAGGAATGCTTGTGGTTCCCAACTGTTTCCTCCTGCCTATGTGTGACTGCCAAATAGGGAAGTTATTTGCTTTGGATTAAAATAGGCCCAGTAGACAATCCTTTTTGACCATTTAGAGGAAAACTGAAAGCTACTGTCATAATTGTATGTGTGTGTTGTTGGGCGAATGGGCTTATTAACAAACGACCCTCCTCATAAGTGTACAGCAGAGTAACTTATTAGGGACCTGATAACCCTCTTCTTCTTTCCTCCCTGTCTAGAAATAAAGAAGGGATTCCTTAGTTATCTGACAAGCTGTAACATATAGTTGGCCCTCCACTTTTGTGTGGGTTAGGATCACAGGCAAATGTGGAGGGATGACTATATTATTTCAGATTTATATTTGCCTTCAGGGTTGAGATGCTGCAAGTTATGTAACAGTTGCATTGTGGTACCCCTTTAATTCCTTTGCTTGCTTCTATTCCAGTAGTAGTGAAAGTTTGGTACTGACTCAGGGCCCTTTCACACAGCCTTATAACCCAGAATATCAAGGCAGAATAATTCACAATATCTGCTTTGAACTGGGTTATCTGAGTCCACACTGCCATCTATCTCAGTTCAAAGCAGATAGTGCGGGATTTTATTCAGCTGTGCGGAAGGGGCCCCAGACTATCATAGCAGATAATCCATATCATCTGCTTTGAACTGGATTCTTTGTGTTTACACTGCCATATAATCCAGTTCAAAGCGATAATCTGGATTTATCTGGCAGTGTAGAAGGGGCATCAACTGCATATTTCAGCATTATCTTGGCCAATTCATCACAGTTTATGTGTATTTTCATTTTGTTTGTCCTCCAGAGAGGTTTTTAGAACAAGAAGTGACATATCAGCAGTTTGTAGACAATCCCGCTATCATTGATGACCCTAACCTTGTGGTGAAGATTGGAAGCAAGTAAGTAAATCTTGGCGGGAAGAAAAGTGTGTATTTTGCCAGAAGTAGCATCCAAGCATTCTTAATGAGATTTTAATGTTGGCAGCTGTAGTGGAAGTCTGACAAAAGATTGAATTTCTGGGACACTCTTAATCTTGTTCTCAATTATTAAACGTCCATGGTGGGCTTGGTGGAATGTCTTTGTACCTACTCATCTGCATTATAAATATTTGGTGATGCAGTCCAAGACATAGTAATATTTTGCAGATTTTAATGATGGTGTATAAACTTTTCTGACCTTCTAGATACTACAACTGGACAACAGCGGCTCCCCTCCTGTTGGCAATGCAGGCTTTTCAGAAACCTTTGCCAAAGGTGAGATTGACGAAAGAAACCTTTTTGAGAAAGAAGGACAGGTACATTATTTAAACAAGAAATGGAAAATGGCCGTAGGCATTTGATACTATTGGGGGAAAAATCAATGACTCATTTCACTTTATTTTCTCCACCAAGGTTTTGCTTCTCAGAATTCCGGATTGAATTGTGCTAAATTATTCTGTAGGACAATGTAGCCCTGTTGCTCCCTGACCACAAAATCTTGCTATTGTTGAGTTGGGGTGAATGTAGATTTGCCACGTTCGGTTTGCTTAATATGAGCTTGTTCTCTATGGCGCCCCTGGTGGCGCAGTGGGTTAAACTGCTGAGCTGCTGAACTTGTTGACTGAAGGTCACAAGTTCGAATTCAGGGAGTTGCGTGAGCTCCTGCTGTCAGCCCCAGCTTCTGCCGATCTAGCAGTTCGAAAACATGCAAATGTGAGTAGATCAATAGGTACCACTCTGGCGGGAAGGTCAGGGTGATCCATACAGTCATGCCAGCCACATGAACTTGGAGTTGTCTACGGACAATGCCAGCTCTTCAGCTTAGAAATGGAGATGAGCACCAACTCCCAGAGTCAGACAAGACTAGACTTAATGTCAGAGGAAACCTTTACCTTTTATGCTCTCATAAGTTAAATTTAACAATGGAAGATTAAATGGAGGGACACACTAAAGTGAATATTCCGAATGCACAATGTTTGTATTTGTTTTTGTCAGAATGAAATGATATATTTATTTACAAATGTTCATGTTCATTGGCAAACCTGTGGAAACAGACCTCTTTTTTTCTTCATCAACAAGTGTCTGGTGAAAATGCTGTGTGTCGATGTGCCTTTACATCGCCTGTTTACTTATGGAAAGTAATTCCATAGGTTTTCTTAGGCAAGGAATACTCAGAGGTTATTTTGTGAGTTCCTGCTTCTGAAATATAACCTGGAGCACTTATTTGTTGGTGACTTCCCAGCCAAGTACTAGCCAAGAATGGCCCTGCTTAGCTTCCAAGATCAGACTGGAAGGCAATTAGGCTGAACACTGAAAATCATACAAAAGTTGAAAGTCAGTTCTATTGTGTTATTTCATCTATTTTCACCGCCAACTAGTTTTTAAGAGGCACTGACTAGGCCATCCTGCAAAGTTTCATTATGATTTAAGCAAGGACATCTTGCCCACTTTTGTTCCTTACCAACAAAAACCCTTTTATGATTTTTACTAAAAGAGCCGAGAAGTAGAGACTTCTTTCTCCCCACTCTCCTAAACATTATACTAATGTCTTCTTATGCTTTTTTTTGTTCCCATTATTATTTTCTATCTTTCTTTTCAAATTTCCTAAGTGTTCTTGTTTAAGTTATTTCTACATAATTCTGGATACCATTAGGTTTTGCTTTGACAAGATTTGTGGTCCACAGCTAGTATGTTTGCTTTGGCTTCTCTTTGCCTGAGTTTAAATTGTTGTGTGGTTTTGCTTGTGCGTTTTCAAACTTCTGTTTGCATGAATTAGATTATCTTTTTTTGTTCTGTTCCATTATTTATGTTACCATCCATTTATCACAGGCCACTGTGGATTCTATAATGAGGGATAAGATGCCCAAAAAAGGTGGAAGATGGTGGTTTTCATGGCGAGGGAGGAATAGCTCTATCAAAGAGGTAAGTTTGGAAATGAGATAAACTGAGCTTTCCTTCCAGGTGAGACTGACTGTATTTGGAGCTGTGTGTACGCTATGTAGATAAGGCTAATGTATCTCACTTGGTGCACAGGCAGTCCAAATTTGGCATTAAAAAAGAATTCTGAAATGTGTACATACTTATGCAAATCTGCATTTTTATGCATGGCTAATCTTTTGCATTTTTTGCTATTTTGCTCAATTGACTAGCTAGCTCATTGTGAGGAGGAATTACACAAAGCACTGAAGCTTAGTTAAAATGCCATTGATTTTTTCATGGCATTTTTGTGGGTGTTGCTGGCAGGTTTTGAAGGACATTTTAATGAAAACTGAAATTATATACGAAGTTCTTTGCACTCTTTTCTGCAGTACTGTGTGTGTGCCTGCTGTCTAAGAACAGAAAAATTGCCATGCTATTCTAGGGCAAAATTCCATCTTACAAGAGCAATATCTACCCCAAAATGCCCCTGAAAAACTTTATGGGAAGGCTTGATGGTGGTGGGCATATCCCTGTTTAAGGTAGATAGCTTGTGAACACTGAAGCAGTGTAATATGCTAATGATAGGACACATAAGGCATAGTGGTGTTTTTCCACCAGCAAATAAGCCAGTCAAGGTGGTCCCATTGGTGATTAGCACACTGGGTGCAGTGCCTAAAGACCTTGGCCTGCACTTAAAAACAATCAGTGCAGACAAAATTACCATCTGTCAGCTGCAAAAGGCCACCCTACTTGGATATGCACGCATTATTTGCTGATACATCACACAGTCCTAGACACTTGGGAAGTGTCCGACGTGTGATTTAATACAAAAGCTGGCATAGTGATCTTGTTTACTGTGTACTAATCTTGTTGTGTATCAAATAATGCTGATGATGATTTGTTAGCTGCCTCTCCCCATGATTCATGGCAGAGCACAGTTAAAACACACTGATAAAACATAATAGTCTCTGCTGGCAGGTTGAATGTATTTATTTATTTATTATTTACGACATTTATATCCTGCCTTTCTCAAGCCCGAAGGTGACTCAAGGCGGCTTACAAATTGGCAGCAATTTGATGCCATAACAACCCACAATATACGACTAAAACATTTAAAACAGCATTATAAAATCAATACAACACAAAAACCATTACAAACATATAATAACCAATGTCTTCCTGCAATTGTACTGCCCTATGCACCTCCTAAATTGCTCCAGAGGGTTGGATGCCCTTGTGGGTGATATTGTGGCTTGCAGGGAAGAAAGATGAAAAGGGAAGTTAGAATCCTGCTGGCGTAATGTTGTATTTTGGCCCACAATGAGAAGAGTCCTGATGGATTTGTGCTGCAGCTATACTCATTCCTGAAAGTAGGGGGAGACGGTGCATTGCAGTATCTTCCTTTTATTGCACCGAGACAGTTGTACTGTGCCTGTGGCTCTAATTTGCAGAAGCAGTTGGATTTTCATTCATATTCATGTTCTTGTACTTTCCCTGTAGGAATCAAAGCCTGCACAAGGTCTGGGTGGAAATGAAGAGTTGGACATCGTAGACAGGTATCAGCAATTCTACCTTTGTGAAATGCTGTAGAATTTGATTTGCAAAAAAACCCTGTGCAGTTTGTTGGCTAAGAAATGAATGGCTGTGAATTCCTTAGACATCTAAACCTTGATTTTTGTCCACAACTTCTAAATTGCCAACTATTACTAATTCTTTCATTAGACTTAAAAGAGGCAATGGTTATGGGTGAGACAAGATAATTGCGGCAGCAGGGCTTTGGACATCAATGTAAAAGAACAATCATGTAGCTACTTGTGATGGGGCATTTCCACTCAGTCCAGAAACATTAATTTAAGGATCAAGGTTTATATGTCATTCAGGATCATTAAGAGATTCTCATCATTACGAAGGTGAAGCAAGCTCTATTTAAAAAAATAGGGTTTGTGTTCTAGTGCAACATGCTGTGACATTATTGGAAAGGCCGAAAAGCTTACCATAGAACGGTGTTAAGAAGGCTGAGGCCCCTTCCACACAGTTAAATAAAATCCCACATTTTCTGCTTTGAACCAGAATATATGACAGTGTAGACTCAGATATCCCATTCAAAGCAGATATTGTAGGATTTTCTGCCTTGATATTCTGGGTTATATGGCTGTGTGGAAGGGCCTCTAGCTATCTGGAGTTGGAAAAATGTCCAGAGTGTGTGTAGATCTACAATATCTGTCTCTGTGTGTTCATACATTTTCTCAGTAAAATCGAGAGGCACCCCAGTTTTACTGCTGGTGTGTGGTTATGCCTCAAAGAGATTAGCAATATTGGAGCTTATTTCTACACATTGTTTACAAACCAAACTGTATGACAAGACAAATATAAGTATGCAACCAGTTCCAGATTTACCATTGTGCTCAGATCTGCTTAATGATTTTTTTTATGATGGATTTTGCTTATGTGGTACAATTCTAAAATTGAAGGCTTTCTGTTTCATCGTGTTTCCATATATATTTATAGAGTTGATAGTCTATGGGAGTGTGCCACAAAACAGGCAGTGTAGGTCTACTGAGCCTACCTGCTTTAGGGGCCAAAGGAAGGGGCCTCATAACTTAACTAGCACAGGACCTCATTTATCCTAAATCCGGCACTGTATGTAATAAAAGAGAAGTAATATTTTCCTTTCCTTTCCCCTTCTATTTTCCTTCCTTCATTCTTTGAAACAGCAAATTCCAGGATTGTTTTCCTAGATTCCAGTAAATAATGCTGTTAACTCTAAATACATTACATTCTTGTTTGTCCGAAAACAAACTATATGCTAGGCATGAATGGCGAAGTTATCTAGTCATTGTTGACTGAATTTTGCCAATAAGCTAATTCAAATAATTTACCTTAAAAGACCAAGTGCTGTGCTATTAATGGGAGAATGGAAAATTCATAATGAAGGAAAACTGACTTGTGAACCATCAAAGATGTATAAGCATGAATATTTGAGAGCTAGTATGATATAATGATTGGAATGTCAGACTAGGACCATAGTGACCTGTGTTCAAATCCCTAGATACCTATTAATCTCACCAGGTGGCTCTGGGCCTATCATTATGCCGCAGACAAACCTACCACATAGAGTTGTTATGAGATGGGTATTTTGCATGCCGCCCTTATCACCTTAGATCAGTGGTTCTCAACGTGTGAGTCCCCAGATATTTTGGGCTTCAGCTCCCAGAAATCATAACAGCTAGTAAACTGGCTGATATTTCTGGGAGTTGTAGACCAAAACACCTGAGGACCCACACGTTGAGAACCACTGCCTTAGAATAAAGGTGGCATACCATTCTACTATGTGGAATAAATAGTGACTGAAAGTGATAACATTTATATTTATGCACCTCACCTTCAACGGACCAGTATAGAAAATGATCTCATGCATTTTGTGGGTGATGTTTCAGAATCAAAGATGAGTCTTCTTCGAGTGATGAAGAACATCGAACGACAAATCAAGCGCTTGGAACTTTAATGACAAATGCCAATCACCATCCTCTGTTATCTGGAGTAGGCTACAAAAAGAGCCTTCGACTCAGTTCTGAACAACTTGTAAGTTCCTTTTGTATTTACTGTTTGTTGATATGAGATAATACCCCCACTTTCCACCTTTACCTTCCTGGAAAGTTAAAGCAGGTGTCAGTCCTCCACATCATTACCAGGATAGTTCAAATTTATTTATTTATTTACTTCATTTATATACCACTTTTCTCCCCTGGGGGACGACGACTCAGAGTGGTTTCCAACATATTCACGGCAAAAATTTAATGCCTGACAAACATATAGAAAAAACCTTGCATCAGAGCAACTGTAACATATAACTATAAATTAAAATATTTGCTGTTTATTCGTTCAGCTGCTTCTGACTCTTTGTGACCTCATGGACAAGCCCACGGCAGAGCTCCCTGTCTGTCGGCTGTGGCCACCCCCAGCTTCTTCAAGGTCAATCCAGTCACTTCAAGGATGCCATCCATCCATTTTGCCCTTGGTCGGCCCCTCTTCCTTTTTCCTTCCATTTTCCCCAGCATCATTCTCTTCTCGAAGCTTTCCTGTCTTCTCATTATGTAGCCAAAGTACTTCATCTTTGCCTCTACTATCCTTCCCCCCAGTGAGCAGTTGGGCTTTATTTCCTGGAGTGTAGGCTGGTTTGATCTTCTCGTGGTCCAAAGGACTCTCAGGATTTTCCTCCAACACCACAGTATCCTCCTTCACTCAGCCTTCCTTATGGTCCAGCTCTTGCATTCATAGGTGACTATGGGGAATACCATTGCTTTAACTATGCGGATCTTCGTTGCCAGTGTGATGTCTCTACTCTTCACTATTTTATCGAGATTGGTCATTGATCTCGTTCCAAGAAGTAAACATCTTCTGATTTCTTGGCTGCAGTCTAAGTCTGCAGTTATCTTCGCACCAACTCCACATCTAGACATTTAAACATGGAATTAAAACATATTAATATAAACATTAAAATCACATAATCCAGAAACCAAAGTCTGAGGCCTTTCCAAGTATTAATTTCACATAATCCTGTTTGTTTCATACTGCCCAAAGGTTTGGTCCCATATCCATGTCTTTCTTTCTGAAGACCAAAAGGGAGGGCGCTGGTTTAATTTCATTAGGGAGACAGTTCCACAGACAAGGGACCACCACTGAAAAGGCCTTGTCTCTCAGTTCAAATATGACAGTAATAGTTACAGCATTGCAACCCTACATAGGAAGACGTAAATTAGTTACCAAGCCCAGTTATGTCTACACTCATAGACAAAGAAGCAAAAGTTTTAAAAAAGAGAGCCTCAAAATGATACTGGAAAAATTACATTTTATAAAACAGGAAGCTTGACTTATAAAATTGCGAAATGCTGAATAGAGTCCTTTGCTCATGGACAAAGTCCTTGAAAGGAGTCTGTCAGTTACTAAAGCAGTTTACCTTCTCCCTTAAAAGGCTATGTGTAAGACTGCAGTATTCTGAACTACATAATTTGTCACCCTGTGCAGATTTAACACTGAATTTGTTTTGTGTGTACATATGTTTGTGGTTTTGTTTTTTTTTTACAGAAAAGCCTAAACCTCAAGAGCGGCCCCAATGATGTAATCTTTAGTGTTACAACACAGTATCAAGGAACATGTCGTTGTGAAGGCACCATCTATTTGTGGAACTGGGATGACAAGGTCATTATATCTGACATTGATGGCACAATCACAAGGTCAGTTTTTCACAAGAGGGAGGATGTAAACTTTCTATTCAGGAAACTATTTTTAGAACTTTTGATTTTTTTTGTGTCAGGAGCGACTTGAGAAACTGCAAATTGTTTCTGGTGTGAGAATTGGCCGTCTGCAAGGACTTTGCCCAGGGGACGCCCGGATAATTTATCATCCTGTGGGAGGCTTCTCTGATGTCACCACATGGGAAGCAGGATCTGGCATACAGGAGCTCACCTTGCTCCCGGGATTTGAACTTCTGACCTTTCGGTCAGCAGTTCTCCCTGCTCGAGGATTTAACCCATTGTGCCACCGTGCTACCGTGGCAGGACTGAAGGCCGACAGATCTTAGGTTCAAATCCAGGGAGAGCCAGGGTGAGCTCCCTCTGTCAGTTCCGGCTCCCCATGTGGGGACATGAGAGAAGCCTCCCATAAGGATGGTAAGACATCAAAACATTCAGGCACCCCTGGGCAACGTCCATGCAGATGGCCAATTCTCTCACACCAGAAGCGACTTGCGGTTTCTCAAGTCGCTCTTGACATGAAAAAAATCACATGTAGAAAATGCTTACAGATGTAGATAAATTAAACTGTGGGTACTGGTCCTGTGAATATGGGGATCATACTATTTCTTCATGCTGCCTCATGTGTTTGGTTGACATTGGCATGCTAGACATTCCGGAGTGTATTGTTAGCCATTGCAAAAATATTGACAGCCTACAGTTCATTTGCCTCATTTTGTTGTTGTTTTATCTTCTTCTAGGTCAGATACGTTAGGCCATATTTTGCCGACTCTTGGCAAAGACTGGACACATCAAGGCATTGCCAAATTGTACCATAAAGTGAACCAGTGAGTATATTAGTCGATTGCCATTGAATTCTGAGAATGCTTGTATCTACTGTATGTTCTTTCGTAAAGAGAAAAAAATGGAGATGTTTTAGCATGGCTCAGCTGATTCCTTTATGGGGAGGATCAGGCTGACTGAAGATTATATCAGCTGTCAATAGGTGGACAAAACTAAAGCCAAAGATTGGCAGGTGGTATCGTGTTTTCATTTGTGCTTGCTGACTGTCATTGTGCCTACCCATTGTCATTTTATTTTCCCCCATTTTAAGTTGTGTTTGCTTATTGTTTACTTGTTATTCTTTGCATTTTATTTGATGTTATTACTTGTTTGTTGTATTTTACTTTGCTGTATTGTAACTCTTGGGCTTGGCCTCATGTTAGCCGCCCCGAGTCCCATCTGGGGAGATGGTGGCGGGGTATAAATAAAGATGATGATGATGATGATGATGATGTTTATTTGAAACACAACAAGATGAGTCCACAGCAGACAGGATCACTCTGCTGGCTGTTGTATTGGCTCACACATTGGACACTTCCCACATGTCTAGGTCTGTGTGATGTATCAGTGAATAATGTGTGCAGATCCCAATAAGGTGGCCTTTTGCAGCTGGCAGATGGTAATTTTGTCAGTGCTTGTTGTGTTTAAGTGCAGGCCAAGGTCTTTAGGCACTGCACTCAGTGTGCCAATCACCACTGGGACCACTTGTTGTTGATGATATTATTATTATTATTATTATTATTATTATTATTATTATTATTATTATTATTATCCACTTAGAGGTTTTTCTTAGAGAGCATGCAACCTTTGGAAGAGACTCCCCATCCTCCCTTCCTTCTGATTGAAGGGAATATTACCTACCGGAATACCGTTTGTTCAGTCTGTGACACATACTACAAATGAATGGCTTGAGTCTTGCCTGCTTCCATTTTAACAGAGAACTGTATAGGAAGCAGTTTTCATTTGATTCCTCCTGTATCTATTCTATACTATTCTGAACAGTCTTGGAACAGACTTTGGTAACACAAGAGTTTCCAGGAGGAAAGGGTTTTTTTGCTAGACCTCATGATCAGACCTCCCTTGAGTGTTAGTTGGGTTCCTGAGTGGTCCAGTGGGTTAAATCACTGAGCTGCTGAACTTGCTAACCACGACTGGACTTAATGTAAGGGGAAACCTTTACCTTTACCTAAATGTAGTCGGCTCACACTCTTAAATTTTTAACATTTGGCTGGAAATATGTACATGCACATGCCCTTTATGGTTTGACTATGAGAACATTTGCAGAATGTTTGGTGGCAATGCCAGTAACAGTACATTTTCTCTCCTTAAAACAGAAATGGATATAAGTTCCTGTACTGCTCAGCACGTGCTATAGGGATGGCAGATATGACCCGAGGATATTTGCATTGGGTCAACGAGCGGGGGACGGTATTACCTCAAGGTCCTGTCTTACTGAGTCCCAGCAGTTTGTTCTCAGCCTTTCACAGGTATGGTTACATCATTTTAGTCAAAAATTTAGTCAGAATTTTAAAGTGTTTTAAATAACATTATGTGTAAAGTTTGAGATGTATTACATTTCTTTATTTTAAGTTACTTTAATTTTATTGAGTGTCTTTGTTATTTACTATTGTGCTATTTTGCTTATGTTCTTGCTCTACTATATGTTCACATTGCTGAGTGCTTTTGTAAGTGGCCCAAGACTCTTTGGTGAGATGGTGGCAGCATGCAAATAAAGATAATAATAATAATAATAATAATAATAATAATAATAATAATAATTATTATTATTATTATTTGATACGCAATAAGATTAGTACACAGCATACAAGACCACTATGCTGGATTTTGTATTTGATCACACAGCGGGCACTTCCCAAGTAGGGTGGCCTTTGGCAGCTGACAGATGGTAATGTTGTCAGCGCCAATTGTTTTTAAGTGCAGGCCAAGGTCTTTAGGCACAGCACCCAGTGTGCCGATCAGCACTGGGACCACCTTTACTGGCTTGTGCCAGAGTCTTTGCAGTTTTATCTTTAAATCCTCGTATCATGTAAGCTTTTCCAGTTGTTCCTCATCTGTTGTTGTTGTTGTTATTTGTTACTATTGGTATTGAATGTTTGCCACTGTATTTTATTTTGCTAGAATCTGCCCTGAGTCCCCCCAGGGAGATCGGGCGGGTAATAAATAAAGCATGATGATGATTTTTATTACACTTAATCCTGTGAACTAGAGCTTTCCAGACTATGTGTAGTGACACATTAGTATGTTGGGTGCAGTGTATAGCTGTGTCAGGGAAACATAACCGCATCTCGGCCTATGAGCCCACGAGGGCCTTGAGATCGTCTGGGGAGGCCCTTCTCTCGATCCCGCCTGCCTCACAGGCATGTCTGGCGGGGACGAGAGAGAGGGCCTTCTCAGTGGTGGCCCCCCGGCTGTGGAACACCCTCCCTGTTGACATCAGACAGGCGCCCTCCCTTATGTCTTTCCGTAAGAGCCTAAAGACATGGCTATTTGAGAAGGCATTTAATTGAGAGCTACATTAAATGGTAATGACAACTGGAACGGAATATGGATTATGAGATTGGCTATGATTCTATGTTGTGACGGTGCGGATTAGTTAGTGTAATTTAGATTAATATGTAATATAGTTATGTTGATGTATTGTGTGCTTTTTGTAAACTGTTTTTATATGTTGTACACCGCCGCGAGTCGCCCCAGGGCTGAGAGCGGCGGTCAACAAATGCAGCAAATAAATAAATAAATAAAAATAACAAGAAAGGACAAAAATCTTGGAAATATATGTTATCTTACAAATAATATATGTTAGAATATATAATGATAGGTTTTCAAAAAATACATTGTGTCTCCATTCATTTCATTATTACAATTTATGTATGTTGTCTGTATCTCTTATAAGAGATTGGTTTAACTTCCGTTTTACTAGTAAAACCGAATTACTGTGTCACAAAATGATGCAGGTCTAAAAAGTGTGTCACAGACATTAAATGTTTGGAAAGCTCTGCTGATTGCTCATGGTCTCAGCAGATGGGGTTGCCTTGCCCTAAACCTGTCCCCTGGATCATAGACTGCCAGTGCTCATAATTATGGACATTTCATGGCTTGCAAATCTTGTTTGGTTGCATTCTGCAAGTCACTTCTGGTGTGAGAGAATCAGCCATCTACAAAAACGTTTCCCAGGGGACACCCAGATGTGTTACGATCCTGGGGGGAGGCTTCTCTCCTGTCATGTTTTTAACTTTATTTGTGTTTTCAAATACATTATAACTAGATTATAACTAGCTTCTGACACGATAAATAAATGACTTGGAAGAGTAGGATAGGTTTAGAAACATTGCTCATTTGAATAGGTACTTCATTTGGCAGTTTGTCGGAGATATTTTCTGAGCTTCAAAGACTATGCATTTTTATGACAAGGTTTTGAATCTTGTAAACCAGGGCTTTGCAAACTGTCGTTAGTATGCTGGCTGCAATGTATGGGTGTGTCATGTGAACATAATGAGAAATGACAAGAATTTTGGAACTGTATGGTATCATCTTACAAATAAGAGGCATCCATAGCGGCTCCCTGCCATGTGGTAGTCAAATTCAGTTTTGTCTTGGCTGCGAGTCAGTACTTCATCCCTCTGGCCTGAGTCTGGCAGAAGATAAGTTGCTGAAAGCAAATTGCTTGGCTAAGATTTTCAGTGGAATATAGTCATGACTAGTTTTAGCTCAATTTGGGACCCACAGTCCAAATTTTGTCCATACGTGTAATTTTAGAACCTTTTCGGGTCCCCCCCGTCCCCCTGTTGTGCGGGTTTTTCGCCTCTGCCGCTACCGGTCCCCCTTCACCCGCCGTGGGGCAGCCTCTTCGTGCCCACATCGGCAGCTGCGGTGGTGTTTCCTCCGCTGGCTCTTTCGTTTTTCGCAGCGGGCTTTGCGGCCTCGCCCGCTACCTTGCGACTCTGGTGTCGTCTCCTTCCTCGCCCTAATCTTCCTTTCGCCTGCGTCTGCCTTGCCCGCTCTCGGCTTTCCCCCCCTGCGCGTGGCCAGCCTTTGCTCCCCTTTTTCCTGTCCCCCCCTCCGTCGGCCCGATCCTCTCCCCGCCCGCGATCCGGTTCCCCCCCCCCCCCCCGGTGACCAAATTGGAGTCCAGTCAATTGACACTTTTCAAAAAGGCTAAGAAAATGAAAGAAAGTGTGCAATGTTTACAAAGCTGAAGCATTGTCTTTTTGTGTTCTTTATTTCAGAGAGGTGATAGAGAAGAAGCCGGAGAAATTTAAAGTACAGTGTCTAACTGACATCAAAAATTTGTTTCACCCCAACACAGAACCCTTTTATGCTGCTTTTGGCAATAGGCCTGCTGTAAGTACTTGGTTTAACATTTTTTAGTTAAGGTCTCATCCTGAAAGAACTTGGCTGGGTTCACAATGTCTTTTCGGGCTGGATCTGCACTGCCCTATATCCTAAGACCTGATCCCAGATTATCTGCTTATCCCACATCTGTATAAATAAAAATGTAATGTTCGTTTGTGGGATTGACATAACTCAAAACCCACTGCACAAATTGACACCAAATTTGGACACTATACCCCTAACAGACCAACGAGTGACCATCACTCATAACCCCCCCTCCCCAAAAAAAAAAACAGCGGAAAGGACTTAAAACCCAAAAAAGCTAAATTACGAAAAGCAAAATGATGGTACAGAAAAAAAGAGAAAGAAGAGGGAGGGAAGAAAGAAAGGGGAGAAAGAAAGAAAGAAAGAAAGAAAGAAAGAAAGAAAGAAAGAAAGAAAGAAAGAAAAAAAGAAAAAAGAAGGCAGGAAGGAAAGAGAAAGTTGAAGGAAAAGAAAAAGGGGGAAGGAAGGAAAGACGTAGAGAAGGAAAGAAGGAAAACAGGAAAGGAAGGAAGGAGGGAGCAAAGGAAGGAGAGAAAGAGGGAGGGAAGGAAAGAGAAGGAAGGATGGAAACAAAAAGCAAAGGAAGGAAGGAAAGAGGTAGAGAAGGAAGGAAAGAAGGAAAGGAAGGAAGGAAAGAGGGAGCGAAGGAAAGAGAGAAAGAGGGAGGGAAGGTTGGCCAAAGCAATGCATGGTGGGTACAGCTAGTATAATCATAAAACTCATATAATCCAGTTTGTTTCCGGGTGATATTCAGGGTGCTGGCATCAGCCTATAAAGCCCTAAATGGTTTGGGCCCAACCTACTTAATGGACCGCATCTACTCCTGTGAACCCATATAAGCCCTGAGGTCATTAGGAGAGGCCTTACTCTCAGTCCCACCATTGTCCCAAGTGTGATTGGTGGGAACGAGAGAGAGGACCTTTTCAGTGGTTGCCCCGCAGCTCTGGAACTCCTTTCCTAAAAAAGTTAGAACAAGTCCCTCCCTGCTAACATTCAGGAATTAAGTAAAAACTTTCCTGTGAAAACAGGCCTTTTCCGCAGGAGAATAAATGCCAGATCTATCATATGCAATGCCTGGGCTGAAATAGACCTCCGGCAGTGGACCTGACTATGGCCTAAATGAACTGATATTTGTTGGGGGTTTTCAGTCTATTTTAGTCTATTGACTGTTTTTATGTTTAGATATCCATCATATTTATGTGGGTTCTTATGATTTTAATAGATAGGATTATGCCTATGGTACTGTTGTTTTTTTATTGTATGTTACATTTTTGCTTTTTACATGTTGTGTGTCACTTTGAGTCCCCGATCTGGGAGAAAAGCAGGATAAAAATAATATAATATAATATAATATAATATAATATAATATAATATAATATAATATAATCCAGTTCAAAACAGATAATCTGGATCAGATCCTGGGATATAGGGCAGTGTAAATCTAGCCTCAGAAATATTAAATGCAGATACCAGTGCCTGCAAATAAATTGTAATGTTTATATTTATGTGGATTTGCATAACACTTTATTTAAACTTTTGTTATATATGAATGTCTGGTCTTCATTAGAGTTGGGAAATTTGTGGTCCCCCAGAAGATGTTGAACCACAACTTCCATTATGTCTCAATATTGGCCGTGTTACTTGGTGGAAGCAGTTATTTATAACTTATTAGCAGATTATTCCAAAAATATAACATTAAAGGTTGCCACATTTACAGTCTCAGCCTAGAAAATCCAAGCCAAATTAGTAAAGTCCACAGTGGAGGCTAGAAATGGAAATGGAGATAGTTTGGAATGATACAAATCAGATATTTGTTATTGTTATCCCGTCACTGCTACTATAATTTTAAAGAGCCAGTATATGAAATAAGAGGTAGCCCCTGGCGGCACAGTGCATTAAAGTCCTGAGCTGCTGAGCTTGTTGACCGAAAGGTTGCAGGTTCAATTCCGGGGTGCGGTGTGAGCTTCCGCTGTCAGCCTAGCTTCTGCCAACCTAGCAGTTCGAAAATATGCATATGTGAGTAGATCAATAGGTACCGCTCCAGCAGGAAGGTAAGGGCGCTCCATGCAGTCATGCCGGCTACATGACCTTGGAGGTGTCTATGGACAACGCCGGCTCTTTGGCTTAGAAATGGAGATGAGAACCACACCCCAGAGTCAGACATGACTGGACTTAATGTCAGGGGACAACCTTTACCTTTACTATATGGAATAAGATTTAATGTTTATATTGGAAAGTGCTTATTATACTTTTAGAGGTTGTATATTGTTTGATGTCATGGCCTATGGTTGGTACAGCAAACAATTCAAACATTCTGTTTGGTGGAAATAGGAGTCCAGCTAAATCTGAAGAGTTAGTCGTTTCCCGGTTTTACATATACATATTAGAAAAAAATGACTTATTTTAGAGGAACTTCACTTCTTTTTTTCCTTTTGTTCTAGGATGTGTATTCCTACAAGCAGGTGGGTGTTTCATTAAACAGAATATTCACTGTTAACCCCAAAGGGGAGCTAATTCAAGAGCACGCCAAGACCAACATCTCATCGTGAGTATCCCCTTGCTCTTAATGTAGCATGAACTAGTTAGTTCTCTTTCTGTAAGACCTTCACTAAAGTTATAGCAGGAATTAGCTGTCATGCCTTGAAATTAGTTTTCATTAATATGATCCATATTACCCTAGTTTTACCTTGATAATGTCAAGGTTAGTCTCTGTTTGATTTATAATATTAATTTAAGTTATTACATTATTAAACAACTGCATTTAAAAAATAAAGAATTAATGCAAGATGTTTTTCTGTTCATGGATACAACAGAACCATGGAATAGAAGCTCCTGTGGATGCATTGCTAATTTCCCTTTCCTTTAGTTACAATCTGCACGCACACGTATTCATTCCCTTCCTTCCCCTTTCCCCAGCTGTTCTGTTCCCCCACCTACTAATAATATTGCCAGACCCATTTTCCTTATGTGCTTAATCACATTGTTAAAATCACTCGTAAAAGAGAACCTGTCTTCTCAGAAACACAGTCTTTCTGTCAAATGGGATATATCCTTGTTCACTAATGACGTCACAAAGGAATAGGTCACTGAGAATGTTTTGATTTAGAGTTCATGAGAGAGAGAAAAGGTATTGAGATAATTTTATATCATTCTGCACAAGTGAGTTAGTGCAAATTTGGCTACACTTGTAATGGTGTTTTAATGTGCTACTTAACTGTGTTTTAACTTTTTAAGGTTGTCATAGTTTATAGCTAACCTTTTTTGGATTTTGAGCCATCAGGAGAAAGATGACATACAAAATGAATGAATGATTTATATTGGCCATGCATTGGGAAATGAACTATAGTTGGACCTCCACATTTGCTGGAGTTAGGGGCATAAGAACCCTGTGAAATCTGTAAAAACTATGAATAAATATATTGTCGAAGGCTTTCATGGCTGGAATCACTGGGTTGTTGTAGGTTTTTCGGGCTATATGGCCATGTTCTAGAAACATTCTCTCTTGACGTTTTGCCTGCCATAGATGCTTCTAGAACATGGACATACAGCCCAAAAAACCCACAACAACCCTATGAATAAATAAATCCACTATTTTTAACTTGGGAGAGAACATCTCTAGGGATCTCTTAAGTCCTCCAGCATGACACCCACCTGAAGTTGTTCATAGACTTGCACTGGAGGACATTGAGAACATTTTATTGAAACCCATAAATAATTGTACACCGTGGGTGAAGGGTGAATCCCACACATGGGAGAAAAGGGGGTAAAAATGAATGACTGAATAATGATGATGATGATGATGATGATGATAATCCAAAAAAGTTGAACCCACAAATAAAGCATGTTTTGATTTGCTATTTCCGTTGAGGATTATCCCTTTGTAGCCCTCCTCACCCCATTTCTTTTCATCTTTCACTCAGAGCCATTCCATATTGCCTTTTATCCCAGTATCTGATCCCAGTTTATCTGCTTTAAATTGGAATACATGAGTCCCCACTGCCAGATAACCTGGGATAAACAGTTAATCTGGGATCAGATCCTGGGATATAGGGGCAGTGTGGAAGGGCCCTCAGTCCTTGGTTGCGTCAAATTAATGTACACAGAATAGTTATCTGCATCATTCCTGTGAGATGAGAGAAGTGTGTATGTGTGGGTGGAGGAATACTTTGGATCCATTATAGCTAGTGGATACATTTTTGTTGTTTTTTTAAAAAACCCAACACAGATGTATTATTTATTTATTTTTCGCATTTCTATCCTGTCCTTCTCAACCCCCGAAGGGGGACTCAGGACGGCTTACAATGGGACCCATTCCGAAGCCATTACATAAAAAATTACAAAATTAAAACCACAATTAGACATAAAAGCATAATTAACAATACATAAGCCATCAGTAAAACAGTAATGTATCACCATATTTAATTATTGACTTAACTGTCACCTCTTTGGAAGCCACCTTGATATAATGTATTGTTAAGGCTTTCATGGCCGGAATCACTGGGTTGTTGTAGGTTTTTCGGGCTATATGGCCATGTTCTAGAAGCATTCTCTCCTGATGTTTCACCTACAACCTCACAATCTATGACTGGCAAAATGTCAGAAGAGAATGCTTCTAGAACATGGCTATATAGCCCGAAAAACCTACAACAATCCACCTTGATATACATCATGGTAAAGATAGAAAACTATGTAATATCTCTTAGCCCAGCTCCCCAAGCCTATCTTAACTGACACTAGCCACACCGGGTGACAGAGGTCTCTTCTCCGGATCATCCAGGCACAGCAGGATGGTGCTATCAGTCTCCTTCCACCAATGATCTGTGAAGCAACAATCAGAAGCAGGATCCCTGTCACAATGCCTTGTCCTATGGCAGTTCGCTGGTGGGAGGAGGCTGAAAACACCCTGATCTCAGGGAGAAGAGACCTCTATTGTTTGTTGCAGTCAGGCTGCTATAAGATAGGTATTTGCAAAGGTTGAAATAATGCCACAGTTGTAAACATGAATACCAAAAAGTTACAAATGTATAGGAATATCTTACACATTTATAAGTGCTCAATTGGACTCCAATCGAAATTTGGAATGGGGCTAGAATAATGTTATGATGCTGTTGAATGTATTGAATGATCTTGTCTTAAACTGAGAGAAGGAAGGAAGGACAGAAAGAAGGCTGGACTAATGTTTATTATTAGTAAATTCCAATAATTATCTGTGATTATTTTTTTCTAGGTATGTGAGACTCTGTGAAGTGGTAGATCACGTATTTCCCTTGCTGAAAAGAAGCCATTCTTCAGATTTTCCATGTTCGGACACATACAGTCGATTCACATACTGGAGGGATCCATTGCCACCTTTTGAAAATCAGGACGTTCATTCTGATGTGCCGTAGTGGCTTATGAATCTTCTTAGCGGGAGTTCAAAGGATGCACTTTGGTTTCAGCAACACGGCTGGATTTTTGCCACTTACAGTTCGCCCGGAGTTTGGGATGTAGTGAACGTTTCTTAAATGCCAGTTCAGAAATTCCTTTATTGTCCTTCAAAGTAACATTTCTGAATGTTGCACTCCCGGCTCTTCTCCAGCATCGTGCTCGAGATATACCACAAACGGTATAGTCTTATTATGCAAGGACATTTTTGAGTGCCATGATACTGTGCTTCTAAAGAGCAAATCCTATGTGGTCCTCAATTGTTCCATGATGGCTTCCATACCAGTGTGGGATTTGTTTCCAGACTTAGATTATCATTACAGGCTTCCAGCCTTTAGGTTTTAGTAGAGCAGGGGACAGTAACTGTTAGCCAATGAGCTAAATACTTATTTCTGACCCCCCTGCACCTTCAAAAAAATATTTGATCAGCAAAGAATGACCAAAGCTACTGAACAAAAGTCAGTTGGTCTGCAATCTAAACTTTTCTAGCATTTCTGTAATCCCCAGAGCTGGACTTAGCTTCCATTGGCTGGGTGTCTGGCCATGCCTTCCAGTATTATATATGCCAAAATGAAGCTGCCAGACAGTTTTGTACATTTGTGGTACGTCCCCACAACAAGAACAACATTGAGTGCACTTATGCTACTACTTTGTGTGTACTGTCAGCTTCCATGAATTGTGGCCATAATTTACAGAAAGAAAATGACAAAGGTTAGACAGATTGGCCAAGTCCCTGGAAAAGGATATAAACTCTGTACGGCATCTTTTGCTTTACTCAAGGAGTAATCCTGCTGAAGGTGTTGAAATAACTAGTTGTCCTGCCATGGAATGCCTTCAGGTCATGTATTGAGATACATTTGTTGTTTTGAGTGGGAAGTGTGGGGAGATGATGCTTAAGGCCTAGTTACTCAACCATAATATGAACCGTTGACTCAGCTGAGATGTGATGTACCTGTTCATAAATCAATGAGAGTGAGAAATCATTCCCAACAATGTGTTTTTCACTGTGGTTCCTGGTCGTTGCTTCTATGTAATCACCAAAAAAGAATGAGTTCGTTTAATTAGACCTGGGATGTTCTGAACTGACAAGTACAACAGATGTCAATATCGGTTCCTGAGTACAGACAATATGTTCCTGAAAGCAGTCTTTATTTGCTTGGTGAACTTCATGGGAACTGCATTGCTTGGGTCCACAGATTTTATTTGCACTACTTTTTGAATCTTTATTTTTTTTGCTGTCTGTGGATCCTCCTCTTGGTGTGTTTTCTCTTTTCCCCCCAAAATTCCCTGACAACACTATATGGATTCTGTACCATATAGGTAGCCATTACAGGGAGTTTACATTTGAATTTTGCATTTTCCTTCTTTGCCTTCTTTTCTTTTTTGCTGCTTTGTAATCCTTGGTTGCCTTGAGATATAATGATTTATGTTACACGCAAGTATTTTTTTCAAGAAGCAACTTTTACAAGTTGCTGGTCTTCCTTAAAGCAAAGGTTTCTGCTGCTTAAATGCCAAATGATGCTTGAAGCAATTTGGTTTTTAAATTTGTTTTTAAATAATATTTATTGGTGAGTGAATGATGGAGGCTAAGAGGCAAAGTAGACTGGATGACAGTCAATCTTGTGAATTGGTACCAAAGTCCTCAGAAGGGATTTAAAGTACTCTGTGTGGAGTGAAAGAGAAGAAAGTCCCTGAATTCATTCTTCCCCTGGTTGTGTATTCCCTTCAGAAAGATCCTTACAAGCATTTCTGGCAGTCAATTAAAAGGTTTCCCCTTGACATTACGTCTAGTCGTGTGCGACTCTGGGGGGTGATGCTCATTTCCATTTCTAAGCCGAAGAGCTGGTGTTGTCCATAGACACCTCCAAACTCATTTGACCAGCATGACTGCATGGAGCACCATTACCTTCCCACTGGATCAGTACATATTGAACTACTCACATTTGCATGTTTTCAAACTGCTAGGTTGGCAGAAACTGGGGCTAACAGCGGGAGCTCACTCCGCTCCCCAGATTCGAACCACTGCTCTTTCAGTCAGCAAATGCAGCAGCTCAGTGGTGTAACCCGCTGTGCCACTGGGGGCTCCCTTTGCAGTTCATAGTAAAAGGGAAATAAGTATTTGGATTTGTTAGCTCTTTACCATTCCCTGGGTTGTGTGAAATTCAGTGGTCTTTATGTGGCCCACAGTCCTCCCAAATGATTATTCTGCTAGCTTTACAGTGCAGTCCTTGGCTTCTTTACTCAGAAGTTACTCCACTGAGGTCAGTGGGACTTGTTGCCAGTTAAGTGCCTATCAGATTATAACCTGCATTCTGCAAGTTGTCTACTAAACCACGCATATTTCTGGTGTACTCCTCTGGTCAAGGTGTCTGCCATGGATGGCCTGGAACCTAATTTTGATCCCCCCTCCTTTACAAGTTACATGTTCTTCTCCAATTTTGATTATTTCACTTTTATTTTTTTTGGAGAAATGCTGGAAATAGACCTTCCCTGCCCAAGACTATTGCCATATTCTAGGCATCTTGCTTTGGAGGGCCATTGCTGCTCTTTACAGGGTTCAGGAGTGGTTACTCTCCCCCACCTCCTTTTTTTCATTTACTTCTGAACACCCTTTCCCCAAATAATTCTCACTCCTGATGTATGCCCTTTTGTGTATCTCTGTATATTTACAGACTCTGAGGGTGATGCCAAGTCTTGTGTGGCTTGAAAGGACTGCGAGTATTTTCACAAGAGCCCTTCCACACAGCCCTATATCCCAAAATATCAAGGCGGAAAATCCTACATTATCTGCTTTGAACTGTAATATATGGCAGTGTGGACTGAGATAACCCAGTTCAAAGCAGATATCGTGAGATTTTCTGCCTTGATATTCTGGGATGAAGGGCTGTGTGGAAGGGCCCTCACTCAGAACCTAACCTGATGTTGATTTTGTCTTCTTGTTTTATGCTTTGCTGGGCTTTTAAAAAGTTATCTGTGAACGAATGCCTGCTTCCTGAAGGAGTGTATCTGCTGGCAGTGTTTCCTTCTACTTTGCAATCTAAAGCACGGATGCAGAGCGGAAGCATTTAAAATCCTGCTGATTGAATGTTCAACAGGGCAGTAGAACTGGGCCTGGTAATCAATCTAGTTCACTCTTCCAAACCACTAACCAGCAGAATTATAGCATTTTTTAAAAAAAGGGAAATGTGGGCAAGCTCTGTTTGCACATCTGGCTTTCTGTCTACCTATGGATACAAACATGCTTCTTGGTTATATATTATCTGGATCATGAGACTGTTAAATAAACAATGTCACAATTATAATGGGGTAGATTCATGAGATAGAAAAGTGGCTTTTTGCTAAAGATACATTGGTTGCAGCAGGAGTTAAATTTGAGAATAAAGGCAGTCCCCAAGTTACAAACATCTGAGTTACAAATGACTCATACTTAAGAATGGCAGTGAGATGACGGGAAGTGAGAGAAACCTACCCCTCGGACAGGAAATTCACTCCTGAAATAGCTATCATGGGGAAAAGGTGTCTCCAGTGAAGCTCTGTCACCACTCCTTGTTTCCATAACAAGCCAAAATTTTCAAAATCCAATTATGAGACAGTGTAGACTCATATAATTCAGTTCAAAGCAGATAATCTGGGATCAGATACTGGGATATAAGGCACTGTAGATCCAGCCTTAGGCCCCTTCCACACAGTTGAATAAAACCCCACATTATCTGCTTTGAACTGGAATACATGGTAGTATTGACTCAGATAACCCAGTTCAAAGCAGATATTGTGGGATTTTTTGCATTGATATTCTGGGTTATATGTCTGTGTGGAAGAATTTCTCAACTCTGTTGCATGCAGATCAGTGTGATGCAGCATTTCAACTTGTTCATCCTATCCCTATCCATCTAAGAAGGAAAGCCTCCATTTGTGTAGGGCATTAGCCATTAACTTTATTTTGTGAATGTTCTTTCATGCTGTCATTTTCTGGGCTTGCATTCCAGTGACCTGGAAACTAGTTGGGTTAGTCCGGATTTTGGAAGAGTTCTTTTGGGGACGATTCGGATTCTGAATATAATCTTTTCAAACTCTGGACCTGGTACAGTCCTTGGAGATAATGCATTCTCTTCCCCAGCTCTGAATAAAGCTGTATATTTCTGCAATTTCATATAAAACTGCTTTCAGAAACTTCAACTAATGTAGGCCCCTTCTACACTGCTGTATAAATCCAGATTTTCTGCTTTTATTTTGATTATATGACAATGTAGTCTCATATAATCTAGTTCAAAGCTGATAATGTGGATTATCTGCTTTGAGCTTCCAGTGGCTTAATGTATTCAACCCTTGTGCTGGCAGGACTGAAGACCGGCAGGTTGGAGGTTTGAATCTGGGGAGAGCATGGATGAGCTCCCTCTGTCAGCTCCGGCTCTCCATGCGGGGACACGAGAGAAGCCTCCCACAAGGATGGTAAAACATCAAAACATCTGGGCATCCCCTGGGCAACGTCCTTGCAGACGGCCAATTCTCTCACACCAGAAGCAACTTGCAGTTTCTCAAGTTGCTCCTGACATGAGAAAAAAAAATCTGGATTATATTGCAATGTAGAAGGGGCCGTAGTTGTTACACGAAAGCTGTTACATCTGCTGTTATTTTGCTCTTTCTACAGTTGCATAAAGCACCTGCAGATCCATTGCACTCAGCCAGTATCCATGACCTTGATAGATCATTGCTGAGAACAATTTAATTGCTGTTACTTGGGGTTTTTTATTTTAAAAAAATAGCTGCAGGTCCACAGTTTCTAAATAGTTTCACTTTGGCTGTTGATTTCCTTATGCACACCTTTTAAACTGTATTGTTGACTTCCCAAAGAAATGCAGCATCAGTAACCTTGGAATAGCTGATTGAGTTCTTATTCTTTCTGTGAAAGACTATATCTGTGTATTTATCATGATTTCCCTTTCAATGTACTGATGATTTTCTGTTATAGAAAAAAAAAGGTACTTATTCCAATGCACTCTGAATGCCAACA